GCCGGCCGCGTGGGCCTTCTCCGGCTGCTGCGCCTGCCCACGGCAGCCCTGCCGCCTGCCCGCCTGCTGTGTGCCCGCCGCCCCAGGTAGGGGCGGGTCGGGGTGCGGGCGCCCCCCACCGAGGGCGCCGTGCATGCGTGTCTCGGGGGAGCTGGGGAGTCGCACAGAGAGGCGCCACGGGGCAGGGGGTGGGGGGTGTGCGTGTCCGAGGGAGGAGGCCGAGGCTCTGGCGCCCCCGCCATTGTCCTGCTGGGAGGGGGTGGCTCTTGTGCAGCGATGGGAAACTGAGTCTGGGGGTGGGGGTGGCGGGAACGCAGGGGATCGCCTCCCAGCCCCCACTGCTGAGAGAGGCAGGCAGGCTGAGTGCAGGCCTGTGCCGGGCAGGGACCCCTCCAGAGTTAGGTTAGCTTCTGTCTGCTGGTTTCTCCGGATCTTATGGGTGAGAGTTTGCAACCTGGGATTCCTGTCTGTAGGGTCTCTGGGTGGATAGTCGCGGGGAGGGTGGGGAGTGGGGGCATGGGCACTGGGAGGGCAGGGGACCAGAGAGTAAGGAGTGTAAGAGCACAGCCGGGAATTTGTGGATGACCCCAAGCTGGTGACTGGAGGAGTTTTGGAGTTCTTCCTCCCGGAGCCTCTCCGCTGAATGAGGCCAGAGCCCGCCACCGGGCTCAGCTCCGAGAGGGAATCCCGAGGCCTCCCTCTCCTGCTGGGGGCCCTGCAGAGCCAGCTCCCAAGGCCACGGGGAGGAAAGCCGGGTGTGCTCCTGCACCTGCCCCCGTGTGCCCCGCCCGGAATATGCTCCCCCTGTGCTCGCAGCCCCGGGAATGGCAGGGACCGGACCGAGGAGCCTGTGAGTGCCCCGCCTGGGATTCCCTGGAGATCCTGGGAGAGACAGCAGCTGTCAAGGCGAGGCCAGCCCAGCAGGTTCACAGGCACGCAGGAGAGCCTGCCAGCCGCCCCCGGTGGCGGTGGCGGAGCCGGCGCGGGGCCTGGAGGAAGCCGCACACTGGCTGGTTGGCTGGCTGGCTGGGTTTCCAGATCTGACAGATCTACTGGAACTAGTTCCTGGCAAGGCTCCCCCTTGAGACTTGCCAGGAGGGCTAGGGAGTTGGGCGTGCAGGGCCAGGCCCCGCCAGGCTCTGCCGGAGAGACCCTGGCGAGGAGGGGAGGGGTGGGCAGGGCTCGGGAAGGAGGCCAGGCTTGGCCGGCAGCAGCTGGGTGGGAAAGGAGGCTGTGGGGGAGGGGCAGCCCACACCTGAAGTCCAAACTAGCCCCTGGCTGGGAGCCAGGCGGTCCTGCCTCCCGCCTCCGCTCCTGGAGACAGGTGACCATCCCATTTTACAGATGGTGAGACCAAAGGCCAGAGAGGGGCCACTCCGTTCCTCCATGGAGCCCGAATGTGTGCCTAGCGCAAGTGCAGCCTCCTAATCTTTTTTAAAAAGTACTTATTTGTTTATTTGAAAATCAGAGTTAGAGAGATCGCTCTCCCATCCGCTGGTTCACTCCCCAAATGGCCCCCAATAACCAGGGCTGGGGCAGGCTGAAGCCAGGAGCCAGGAGCTTTTTCTGGGTCTCCCACACGGGTGCAGGGGTCCAAGCACTTGGGCCGTCCTCCACTGCTTTCCCAGACCATAGCAGAGAGCTGGATCGGAAGTGGAGCAGCCAGGACTCTACTGGTGCCCATGTGGGATGCTGACGCCGCAGGTGGTGGCCTAAGCCCCCTACGCCATAGCCATAGCACCAGCCCCAGCCTCCTAATCTTGATCTCTGTGGCCTTTGGCCTTTGAACATCACCTGCCTGCCTGTGTCCCCTCCCCCGCTCCTGGCCCCTCCCCCATGCCAGACAGAAGCCCAGCACTTGAAAGGTCTCTGAGTATTTGAGGGATGAGTGGCACCTGTAGCCCTGGCCAGGGCAGGCTGCTGGCCAGCTCTCAGCCTCTCCCGCCACCCCCCAGTCCCAGGGGTCCCCCTGCAGGCACCCCCTCTCCTGTTTAGAGGGGCCAGGGCCCTGTGGACAACCTTCTCCTGGCTGGCAGCCCTGTCTTGGACTGGTCAGGAGGGTTGCCTGAAAGAGGCGGCATTAATACTGGGGTTGGGAAGGGCCTTTTGGAGACCCGGGAGCTAGGGGGGCCTGGTGCTGTGTGAACAGTGGGCGTGGCCCAGGTTCTGCACTCACCCTGCAGACTGGTGGAGGAAGCTAGGGCAGGACATTGCCCGCCTGCCATGCTTAGATTCTGTCCCAGGCACAAGGCTGGGCAACAAAGGGGCTTCAGCGCAGGAGGCCCAGGGGAGAGTTACAGGACGGGACTTCAAAAGGTTCTTGGAAAATGAAATTAAAAAAATCTTAGTGCACCAGTTCCATCCGTTGGTTCACTCCCCAGATGTCCACAACAGCCCAGCGCTGGGCCAGGCCAAAGCCAGGAGCCTGGGACTCCATCCGGGTCTCCCACGTGGGTGGCAGGGGCCCATCTTGCACTGCCTTCCTGGGGTGTTAGCAAAGGAGCAGCTCTGATACGGGATGCTGGTATCCCAGGCAACGGTTAACCTGCTGTGCCATGATGCCGGCCCTTTGGTTTGATTTTTCTAAAAAGGTTGACTGATTTCAGAGGCAGAGAAGTCGTCCATTCACTGGCTCACTCCCCAGATGCCCAGAAGCTCCGTCCACATCCCCAGGTGGGCGGCAGGGACCCTAGTACCCCCGGGCTGTCACCTGCCACCTTCCCAGGTGCATTAGCAGGAAGCCAGATTGGAGACAGGGAGCAGCCGGGAGTTGAACCCCGCACTGCAGTGTGGGATGGGGGCAGCCCGGCGGGGGCTTACCTCGCTGCACCACGACGCCCACTCCCTGTCTTTGGATACTCGAGAATTCATTGTAAAGCGCCTCCAGCGTCACATGAGCTAAACAAGCACGTCTGGACCTGTGTGGTCTCTTGTCAAGCATGGGGATGGAGCCTGGGGTGGGGGGAGAGGCAGCAGGGTCCCTGTATCCCCAGGAGCAGCCCAGGCCACTCTGGGCCTTGTCAGTGGTGGGCCTGGGGCCTCCTTGGCCTGGCTTCTTCCAGCACTGCCCCAGGCAAGCTGCGGGCTGGGGTCGTAGCAGCGTCAAACCCCCCTGTGTTCAGTGCTGTGTGCTGGGGCGGCCGAGTCCCTCAGTGGCTCAGCCCCTGCTGGTGAGACAAGATCGGCTGACAGGGCAGAGAGCCTGGGCGTGTCGAGGCCCCAGCGTGGGCAGCCAGGAACATTGCCTCTGGAGCCAGACTGCCTGGGTTTGAACCTTGCCCCTGCCACTTGCTGGGTGAACTTGAACTTGGCAGGGCCTTAAACCCCTCTCTCAGTGTGCTGCTCTGGAAAGCTAAGGTAATGATGATGATGACAGTCCCTGAATTATCAAGTTGTGCAGGGCTGAATGCTGTGTGTGACGGGCTCAGAACACCTGTCACCGTAGCCTTGAGTGTCTGCTACTCCACGCCGTCCTCCTGTGCACAAGACTCCCCTCGCGTGCATGTGTGCACGTATGTGGTCACAGACCTGTGCACGTCGCTGGCATCCGCCAGGCCCACCCACTGTGGGTGTGTTTTTGGGAAGGGAGCCGTCTTCCTCCCCCACATCTGCCCGCCTTGTCTTGCTGTGTGGCCGGCTCCGTGTCTCAGAGCTGCGTGGGGTGGGGATGGGGATACGGCAGGCATCAGGGGACGAATTGGCCCCCTGTCCCCATGTAGCTCCATCCCAGTCCCTGAGAAGCCATGTGCCTGGTAGTTTGTTGCCACGGAGCCGTGCTGCTGGGAGGGGCTCTCACCAGGGCCAGGTTTCCTGTGTTACCCTGCCGTGGGACACGGGGTCTGTGGGTTGCAACTCCTTCCCCTCTGCCTGGGTTGCCAGGAACCTCGAAGCCCAGTGGTGTATTTCATTGCCACGTGTTTCCTGAGTCACAAGTTCTCTGCCTTCTTGCCCTCCCTCTGTGCCTGTCTCCCTCATTTGCTATTTCGTTCTATAGGAAATGTTTTTCCTCTCTGATTTTTTTCATGCTTGTCCCTGCCTTTTTTGCAAATGTTACTGAACTGTGGCACCGAGGAGTATGTACCACCAGTGAATTTCCTTTTTTATTTCTTTAAGATTGATTTATTTGAAGACAGAGAGAAGGAGAGAGAGGTCTTCCATCCATTGGTTCACTCGCCAAGTGGCCGCAAGTGACCAGGGCTGGGCCAGGACGAAGCCAGGAGCTTCTTCCAGGTCTCCCACGTGGGTGCAGGGGCCCAAGCACTTGGGCCATCCTTTGCTGGCTTCCCAGGTGCATTAGCAGGGAGCTGGATCAGAAGTGGAGCAGCCGGGGCTCCATCATTGCTCTGCCGATGTGCGACGCCAGCATCGCAGGTGGCAGCTTAAGCCACTGCACCAGGCCCCGGCCCCCGTTTCTGCTGGTTCGGTTTGAGGAGCTGCCCTACCGTTTTCCACCCTGGGCTGCTGTCCCAGGCTGTATTCCTCCCCGCCATGTGCCAGGGTTCCCAGGTCTCATCCTCGCCCACGCTCCTGGTTTTCTGTGTGTGTGACCTTAGCCAGCCTAGCAGGGGTGAGGCGGCGTCTGCCTGTGGTTTGGGTTTGCACAGGCTTCCGTAGCATCGCATGTCTAGTCCGGTGAGCCGTGCCTCCTCAAGGCCCCTTGCTGTGTCGTGCGCAGTGGGAGCAAACAACGGGCATCTGTTTGCTCATAACTTCTGGTGGTGGCCACGGGGTGGTTTCCTGTTTGCAACCATCCATCAGGTGTACCGTGCATGCTCCCCGAGGGCCATTTGCTCCTGCTGGGACGATCTCCCAGGCCAGCTCAGGCCACTGGCCCCGCGGTTCCCTCCTGCTCTCCGTCATCTCTGTCTGCCCAGGGCCCAGCCTCCTGGGGTGCACTCCTCCGGTTTCTGCGTTGCTTCCTCAATCTGTGGTCCCGCACACCCTGCACCCACCTATGAGCTGGGTGGCAGAGGGCATGACCAGCTCCTCTCTGTGCCCAGGGATCTTCGGGCAGCGCCTGGAGGACACGGTCCACCACGAGCGGAAGTATGGCCCCCGCCTGGCCCCCTTGCTGGTGGAGCAGTGTGTGGACTTCATCCGGGAGCGCGGGCTCTCCGAGGAGGGCCTCTTCCGCATGCCTGGCCAGGCCAACCTGGTGAGGGACCTGCAGGACTCCTTCGACTGCGGGGAGAAGCCGCTGTTTGACAGGTGAGCTGCAGCGGGGCGGGGCGCAGGGCCCTGGGGTCTCGTCCCGGGATGGATGCCTGCCGTGGATGGGCTGCTTCCTGGAGGGGCCTTCACCCTGGGCTGGTGGACCGAAGGCAGGCAGGGCCGCTGCTGGTTGCTGGGCCAGGGTAGCTGTGTCCAGGCTGCGTCTGGGACTCCTGGCTTTCTGCAGGGCTGGCTCGGGCTGGCTGGGCCTCAGGCTCCATCGGTGGCTCTGCCCCGCCTCTTCTCAGGTATCCTAGACTGGGGGGGGGGGTGTCCCCTCCGCCTGCCCAGCTTAAACCACCCCTGGGCTGCCCTATCCGCCTCCTCGCTCTCTGGCCACCCCTACTGCTCCCCCCAGGACGGCATCCAAAGGCCTCTGGACTTGGACTTGCCCGTCCCCTGCAGCCCTGAGCTCTGGCTGCCTCTGGCCCTGCAGCTGCCCCCGGGGGCCGGGGACCTCGCTCTGGCCTGCCCATGGTGTCGGCGTTTCCTCTTGGCCCCGTCCAGCACAGGGTCCCCTTCTCCTCCCCTCCAGACCCGGGGCCTAGGCCGCACCCCCTTAGTAAGTCCCACCCAGCCGGAGGCCTCTGCCCTCCCATCAGGCTGCCCCTGGGTCCTGGGCCCCGTGTCCTTGTTGCTGAGGCTTGAGGAGGGGTCTCTTCCCATGCTGGACCCTCAGGGCCCCCGCCCCCAGCACAGCATACCCCACCCCTTTGCAGAGGAAGCACCTTGAGGAAGGCAGAGGTGGCCTGGGGGGCACCGGCGGCAGCAGCAGTGCTAAGGGGACGGCGAGCGCTGGCACAGTGGGGGTGTTGGGGCGCCAGTCCTTACCCTGACTGGGAGGAGCCCAGTGGGGCCCCGGGGTGGGGGTGGGGGTGGGGGTGAAGCACCCTCAGGAAAGACTGCGCAGGGTGCAGGGAGGTCCTGGGAAGGCCACCATGTTTGAGGGTGTGTTGGGGGGGGCAGGGAGGTGTGGGCCAGGCCCCCAGGTGCAGGCAGAGAGGGGTGGGGGATGGGCACTGAGGCAGACCTGGCCAAGGGGTCCCTCCCAGGAGTGCAGAGATGGGGAGGGCGGTGCAGGTGGAGGACACACGGCTCCCACTGACCCACCTCGCTGCCCTGGGCAGGGGGCAGCTGATTGGTCCTGCGGTGCCCGCTCTGCCCTGCTCTGCAGGCTGGGAGATCCTGAGGTGCTGCCCTAGGGCCTGGAGGAATGGGATTCATGGTGGGGGGGTGCACTTGGCTGGGAGGAGAGTTCAGGAATAAGTCCCAAGCAAAACCAGCAGGGCCCCTGCAGTGACGGTGACAGTGGGGCAGGAGGACCCCAGGGGAGTTGGTGCTGGGTTGGGGTGAGGGCCAGGCATAGCTGAGCGGCAGGGGTGCGGCTGGTGAGGTGGAGGGGTTGCTCACCTTGCTTGGCACAGCAGCGGCCCTGTGCCCCCAACAGGAAAAGGGGGAGCCCTCGGGGCTGGCCCTTGCCACGCTTCTTTGCTTTTACTGCCTGGTGACCCTCCCCGCCCCCCCACCCCCACCCAGGGGTCCACAGTGGAGGACATGGACATGGACGGGGAAGCTGGGGGCAGGGGTGGGGCACTATCTGGCCCCACCAGACCAAGAGCTGTCAGGCCGGAGGCAGGGAGGGGCCCTGGGTGTGTGGATTTGGGGTGCAGAGGGGCACATGGAACCCCAGTGTGTGTGTGCAAGTGTGGGAATGGTGGGGCTGGGGCTTAAGTGATTACAGGGAGAGACTGGCCTCGTGGTGCTGGGGTAAGAGCACCCACGATGCTGGCGTCCATGTCGGAGCACCAGTTCTCACGCTGGAGTCGCCACTGCTCCAATTCCTTTCCAGCTCCCTGCTCGTGCAGCTGGGGAGGCAGCGGACAAGGGCCCGAGTGCTTGGGTCGGGCCCCTCGTGTGGGAGACCCAGGTGGAGTTCTTGGCTCCTGGGCTTCAGCCTGGCTCAGACCTGGCTGCTGCAAGACCTCGGTCTCTCCCTCTAGCGTGATGGAGGCACGACTGTGTTTCTCTGGCTCACTCCCCAAATAGCAACAGTCAGGGCTGGGCTAGGCTGGGCTGAAACTGGGAACTCCACCCGGGTCTCCCTCCCCCGGGGGCAGCAGGAACCCTTACCCTGCTCATTAGCAGGAAGCTAGAGTGGGGAACAGAGCTGGGCTGCAGCTCCGGGCGGCCAAGCGCCTGCTCTGGGTCCAGGCATTAAATCTGGGCCCTTGAAAAGCAGAGGGATTGTCTGAGGGCCGGGCCTGGCTTGGAATGAGGGCTTGGCCAGGGCACACGCGGGACCCAGGGTGAGAGTGGGACCAGGACACTGCGGCCTGAGTGGACATTGAAAATGCTGGAGAAAGGTGGTGACCAGAGGAGCCCAGGGCCTCTGACCTGCCCAGGCCCTGGTGGCCAGGGCACAGGACTCCTGGTGGAGGAACCCAGCAGGTACCTAACCCAGCTCATCCCCTTCTGGTCAAGGGCAAGTTCAGGGCTGGGCAGCCTCGGGGAGCCCCGTGGGATGGCCCCTGCCGCCGCCTCTGTGGGAGCTGGCCCTGGTCACGTGCGATACCCCTGATTTCTCCAAGGTGGCCCCTTGAGTCCCACGCAGTTGATGCGGAAGAGACAGCCATTGCTAAAGGTCTGCACAGGCGTGAGACAACAGGCGGCCCCGCGGAGATGGGGGCGGGGGTGAGCTGGTCACCCCCACAGCTCACAGGGCCCTCCTCCTCCCCCGCCCCCTCCAGCACGACGGACGTGCACACGGTGGCCTCCCTGCTGAAACTCTACCTGCGGGAGCTCCCCGAGCCCGTGGTCCCCTTCGCCAGGTACGAGGACTTCCTCAGCTGCGCCCAGCTGCTCACCAAGGATGAGGGGGAGGTTAGTGGCTCCGGGGTCCCGGCCTGGGGGGGTGGTGGTGGCTGGGCGGAGGGCACGTGGAGTCAGGACCCCAACTCAAGCTCGTGGCAGGGGCCTCCTGGGGTGTGCTGTTCGTGGTGGGTGCAGGAGTACCCTGCTCTGTGTATGGGGGCTCCACCCCTCGTGCAGGTCTCTGGGAGGGCCAGAGACTAGAGCAGACCCCGTCTGGGCCGCGGCTCAGTGGTACAGTGGGTTACACTGCCACCTGCCCTGCTGGCAGCCTGTACCGGAGCTCTGGTTTGCGTCCTGGCTGCTCCACTTCCCATCCAGCTCCCTGCTAATGCGCCTGGGAAAGCAGTGGGAGATGGCCCAAGGGCTTGGACCCCTGCCACCCCTGTGGGAGACCTGGATGGAGTTCCTAGCTCCTGGTTTCTGCTTGGCCTGGTCCCAGCTGTTGCAGCCCCTTGGGGAGTGAACCAGCCCATGGAAGACCTGTCATTCTGCACATGGTGTCTGGCCAGGGCGCCCAGCCTTGGCTGCCATGCTGTGGGTGGTCCTGGGCCACAGCCATCTCCCACCCTGGGCTGCCAGGAGGCTCAGGACCAGGGAGACCTGTCTCCCTAGTTCTGCCCTACTTTTCTCCTAAAAGATTCTGAGTTGGCTCTGGGGACACAGGGCACAGCCCGCCCCTTCCCTCCCCCAGCCCCGCAGGTGCCGGCTGCAGCCCTAGGTCGGTGGGGGAGATTCAGGCTGTTATCTGGCAAATATTTGTGCCTTGATAAGTGAGCTGAGCCATTCCTCGTCGCCCCACAGCTGCTCACCCCTCCCACCTCCATGCTCCTTGTCCCCTGGGTTCAAAACCCTGTGTTTTTGTGTTTTTCTCCTTATTCCCAAGGGGACTCTGGAGCTGGCTAAACAAGTGAGCAGCCTTCCGCAGGCCAACTACAACCTGCTCAGATACATCTGCAGGTAAGTGCACAGCCCTGTGCAGGCCACACCCCCAGGCCCGCCTCTCTGCAGGCCCATGGGAGCAGGGACGCACCTCTGTCCCCGGGGCACCTTTGCTGCCGTGTCTGCCCCTCGGCCACAACCCCTCCCAGGTCCTCCCCCAGGCAAGGTGGTCCTCTCCCAGAGCACCTGTCTCTGCCTGCTTTTCCTTCCAGGAAGACGGCGGGCTCCTGTCCCTTGGCCGTGACTTCTCATGGCCGTCTTGCGCCCCCTAGGGGCAGCTCTGCCCTCCCACAAGCCTGGCCGGGCAGCTGGCCGTGCCCAGCCGCCATGACCACCCCAGGGCAGCATGGATGGCTGTGGGGGTCCCATTCTTCCGCTGTGGCTCCCCCGCAGGTTTCTGGATGAGGTACAGGCCCACTCCGATGTCAACAAGATGAGCGTCCAGAACCTGGCCACTGTCTTTGGACCCAACATCCTGCGGCCACAGGTGGAAGACCCAGTGACCATCATGGAAGGTAATGGGGGGGGGGGCACCGGGGGCTTCCAAGGCGTGGGCTCGCTTGGGTGCAGGACAAATCCTCACGAGCAGCCCAGCCAAGTGCCAGGCCCTCTCGCTGGTGGCAGCCGGTCACTGGGTGCAGTTAGCATGGCCAGGCGAGGTGAGGAGCCCGTGGCCTGCCCTTGGACACACACAGACGTGTTCTGCTCACCTTTCACAATTAAATGATTGTCATGGGGTCCTGGGCGCCAGGCCCTGGGGAATTTCTCTTCTGTGATAAATCATTAAAATGTGAACAATCCAAAGTCCCAGCAGCCCCCAACCAGCCTCGCTCCCAGCCCGTGCCGTGGGAGTGGTCTTGTTCTACAGACGTGAGTAGCCGTGAGGCCACTGGCACGCGGGTGCAGGTGTAGGCTGGCGTGGGGATGGAGTCAGTGCAGCTCAGGGGCCAGAGCCCCACACCCTGGCCAGAGCCACGCCACTGAGGGCTGTGGCCCTTGCTCCCTGGGGGAGAGGCAGTGGCTTGAGAGGGTGCCGCTGTCCTGCCTCTCCCATGCCCAGAGTGAAGCCGGCCTTCTGAGGCCAGGAAAACCAAGTCCCCACCTGCCAGCTTACTTCCCCCTCACTTGATTCTTCCCAGGATTCCCAGGGGGAGGGGACAAAAGCCCCTCCCCGCATGGGAGTCTCCCTGGTCACCTAGCCCACCTCCCTGGACCCTGCTCTGTGGCTGTGGGTTCCAGGAGGCAGCGAGGGGCCAGTTCCACAGCAGGGTGCCCCCGGCACTGGCACAGGATTGGAGCCTGCATCTCGGGGAGTGTGCGTGCGTGATTCTGGGTGTGCATGCCCATGGGACTGCGTGCACGCACGTGTGAAGAACTGCTCTGTTCCCCGTCCCAGAAGCCTGTGCCCTGCAGAGTGGCCCAGCCCCCACCAGCGGTACAGGGGGTGAAGGCTCTGGTCTCCAGCCCCAGACTGCCACCTGCTCATCCGGCAGCCTTGATGGCCCCAGGCCTGCTTTTGCCTGCCCGCCTGGCCAGCTGGTGGAGTAGGCGTGGGCACAGTGCTTCCACCATCTGTGGGCTCTAGGTCTGAGGACCTGGTTCTGCCCAGGCCTGGGGGACTTGGCGGGCGTGTGGCCAGGGGCCCTGGGTCCTGGCTGTGGCTCCGTGCACCACCATGACCCCCTCCCCTGTGTCTGGCAGGCACGTCCCTGGTCCAGCACCTCATGACTGTCCTCATCCGCAAGCACAGCCAGCTCTTCGCCGCCAAGGCCCCGGAAGGGCCCACCTCCCCGCGCGGCGGCTCCCAGTGCACTGTGGGCTGGGGCTCTGAGGAGGCCCCACGGGCCAGCCAGGGGGAGCCCAGCGGCCCCAGCCCGCCAGCGCACAGGACCTCCTCCCTGGACGGGCCCGCGGCTGCTGCGCTGGCCAGGACGTCCGCTGCGGGCGCCGGCGGCCCAGGGAGCCGGCTGCAGGCTCTGCCCGGCTGGAAGGCTTCCCTCCGGCCCGGAAGCTCATCTCCGGAGGTGCCCATCGTGTCCTCGGGCGGGGGCTGGCTCAGGAACGGGCTGTCCTCCCTGCGTGGCCACCGCCGGGCCTCCTCGGGGGACCGGCTCAAGGACGCGGGCTCCGCGCAGAGACTGTCCACCTATGACAACGTGCCGGCGCCCAGCCCCCTGCCCGGCACAGCCAGCGAGGCCAGCACCGCCTGGTCCGCGGCCTCGTCCTCCCGCGAGGCTTCGCTCAGCAGCTGCACGGCCTGCAGGGCCAGCGACTCATCCGCCTGCAGCTCCCTGCACACCGAGTGGGCCCTCGAGCCGTCCCCGCTGCCCAGCAGCAGTGACGAACGCAGGTCCCCAGAGCCGGGCCGCGGCCTGGACGAGGTGGGCACGGGCGGCGTCTCCGGCAGTGAGCCCAGCGACCCGGGCAGCCCCTCCCAGGCCCACGGCCGCCGCGGCCGGGCTCTTCAGGACCTGGTCTCCGAGCTCAGGGCAGAGCTGTGCCGGCAGAGGACTGAGTATGAGAGCAGCCTGCACAGGTAACGGGGAGCGCCGCAGGACCCCCACTGCAGGTGGGGGGAGTGGCCCTGTCGCTGGGAAAGCGCCACGAGCTGGCAGGCACTGCATACAGTCGGTGCTCCCTAAGTGCCTGCTGCAGGCACAGCGAGCGAGGGCCGGCCCCGCCAGCCGGCGTGCCTGGGCCTGGCCACTTTACAAAGCTGTGGAAAGCGGACCAAGAAGGTAAGTTGAGGCAGGAGTGTGGCACAGCGGGACACCCCCATGCCGGAGCAGAGTCCCTGCCTGCTCCTGGCTCCCACGGGTGCACGCCCGGGAGGAGGCCGGCGCTCAGCCACACAGAATCATCTTTCGAATCCTTTCCCGGGACCTTTCGGACGGGCCCAGGGTCCGCCCCGCCACAGAGCCCTGCAGCGCCGCGCTGAGTTCTGCAGCCCAGGTTGCAGGCCGAGGGCTGCCCCACGCAGCGCCCCGGCCCCGTCAGCTGTCACCCTCGCAGGGCCTGTGGCGGGTTGTGGGCGCTTCCTTTACCGGGAGGCATTCCTGTGGTTTCCAGCGGGGGCTGGAAGGAGGGGGCAGCCGTGCCTGAGCCAGGACTTGAACAGGGAGCTTCGAAATGTTCATAGAAAATGCGAATTAAAAAAAAGGCATGGATCTAAAAAAAATTTCTTTTGCACCAAATTGCATTTTCCACGAACATTCTGCAGATCCTGCCTAGGATCAGGCTGGGAGGAGGAGACCGCCCCAGGTGTACAGCGCAGGGCAAACCCCCAGCCGGAAGCCAAAGGTGGCCCTGCAGGTCCCGTCCTGACACACAGGGGTGGAGGGTGACTGCAGCCCATGAGCTCACGGATAAGAACCGCAGGCCCGGGCCAGGGAGTCAGAGCCGGGTGCTCCTGCATCCGCTGTGAGCCACCCTCCTACCTCCCTAGAGGTGCACCTTGAGCAGTCCTGGCCTGCTGGGGATGGGCTCAGTGCCCGCACAGGCGCTCTGGGCACAAGCTCGCTCGCCTATCGCCTGGCACACCCAGGATGCCTGGGCGCCTCCTGCATCCATGCGAACTGCGGCCCGGTGGGCTGAGCTGGACGAGGCTCCCAGAGGCAGCGGGCCTGCAGCCGCCAGCCCCGTAGCGTACTCACGGCACACGGCCCGGCCGTGCTGTCCTGGTTGGAGGCAGGGACGCGAGCGAGGAGGAGGTTTTCTGTGCCTGGGACGGCCCTGGGGGTTAGCCCCTCGCCCGGTGCCGCGTGCTGTGGGGGAGCGTGCCCCTGCTCTGTGCCTCAACAACAGGGGCAGTGGGAGTGGTACTGTGTGGCCTGAGGGGGCCGGGCTGCCTTCCGTCACCCCCAGAACAGACTGGGATGTCCTGCAGGCCAGCCCGGGTTCTTAGAGGCAGATTCTGTGAGCTCCAGGCTGTGCCCAGTGGGTGAGGGATGTGGCTGTTGTGCCCCACGCCTATCGGCCAGGCGCTGTGCGGGCACACGTGGTGACTGGTTTCAGAAGCGGATGCTGGGTGTCACTGCACGGTGTCCAGTGTCCCCGGGCTGGCGCTCAGTCCCGGTGTACGGGGTCCCATGGGATAGAAGGAGCGGACAGGCCGACAGGTGTCTCGGCCTACTCAGTGGGGGCGGTGCTATGTGGGCTCTGGTGGGGGCAGCAAAGGGCATGGTTGTGACCACAGGAAGTGTCACCAAGGCGGGGGTGGGGGGCACCTGAGCCTGAGGAGACACCTGGGCCCTGATCCAGCTCCCCTGCACCGTTCCCGCAGGGCCTGTGCTATTGCGTGGGGTGAGTGGCCTTGGGGCTCAGGAGTTGGGGGCGGGGCTTCCAGCCTCCAGCGCTAACGCAGCGGTGTTGTTTGGCTGGCGGGCTCACGGGGAGGGGCCTCTCCCTTGGCGGCCGGTGTGACAGCTCCCACTGGGAGACCCCCAGGGCCACCCCGGCGCGTGGCGCGTGCTTGGCGAAGCCAGCGAGCCAAAGCCTAAAGCTGAGCCTGTGTGTCTTGATGCCTCAGGATTGAAGAGGGCAGCGCCGACCTGAGGCGGCAGCTGGCGCGCCTGGAGGAGGAGCTGGCCCAGGAGAAGCAGCGGCGCAGCATGCTGGAGATCAAGCTGCGCAACTCGGAGCGCGCCCGCGAGGACGCCGAGCGCCGCAACCGGCTGCTGCAGCGCGAGATGGAGGAGTTCTTCTCCACCCTGGGGAGCCTGACCGGGGCCCCCGCGCCCAAGCAGGAGTGACGGCGAGCGCCCCGCTGGGCCGGGCCGGGCGAGGAGCCAGGAACGCAGCAGCTCACTCGCAGGCTGGGGGCTGCGGCGCCCACTCATCCAGGCAGGGCCTGGTGGGTGGCGGAGGGGCCGCTGCCAAGAGCACCCTAGGCCCCTCCCCCAGGAAGCCCTCCGCAAGTGTATTAAATTTGCCCTGGAAGCACGATGCCGCGTGATGGACTCATTCCTCCTGTGTGTCTGGAAGGCAGGGAGACGGCTCTCCCAGCCACTGGCTCACGCCCCAGGTTTCCACGGCGCTGCGCCAGGCTGAAGCCAGGAGCCTGGAACTCAGCCTGGGTCTCTCCCCCATGGGTGGCGGGGGCCCAAGCCCTTGAGCCATCACCTGCTGCCTCCCAGGGTGCACACGAGCAGGGAGCTGGATTGGAAGTGGAGCCAGGATTAGCACACAGGTGCTCTGGTACAGGATGTGGGGTCCTCAGTGGTGCCTTACCCACAGTGCTGAGCGCCTGCCCCAGTGAGTCATTTGGTTTTACCAAGTGCTCTCTGTTCCCTCAGTGGTGAGGCGCCCCCTGCAGGGTGCGTTCAGAAGCGGGATGTGGGGCACCCGTATTGCTGGCACAGACACAGGCCTGGGTCTTGCCTCTGGCACCTCTCTCCCCCAACCCCCCTGGTCTCTGCCTCTGCACTGGACTCGGGCTGGGGCCGGGGCTGTGGGCAGAACTCAGTGTGGAAGCTGCGTGCCCGTGCCCCTGCCCCCCAGCAGCTGGGGTCGGGGGAGCGGGAGAGCTGGGCCAAGGCTGTGCGCCTCCTGAGCCCCAGGCTCCCTGTAAGCAAGCGTCAGCCCCGCACCTTCTGTGCCACCTGCTCTCCTCCAGGTCCTACGCAGCCTCCAACTCCACCAGGGCACCTCCTCACACCCCACAGTGCCAGGCCAGGCCCTCCACTGTGCACTAGGGGGAGGGGGCACAGCAGTGCCAGCGCCGCCATCCTGCCCCTGGCTCGGTGTCCCTTCGCACAGCCTCTCGCTGCCGCAGAGCAGTAAGCTGTGGGGGGCTTGGTGAGGGACAGGTGGTCCCCACACACCCCGATTTCTGACCCGTGTCTGCCTGAGTCATCAGGAAGTCGGGTATAATCCACTGGCACACCTGGCCGGTTAGAATGGGCCAGCCAGCTGTGGACTGGGTGGGTGCCTGCGCAGGCCCTCAACAGTGCCGGCTGCTGCTGCGGCGTTCCCAGGAGCCACCTCTGCTCCTCTCCGCCACGGCAAGCTCAGGGTCAGGGAACTGGATGCCGCCTTCCCTCTATTCAAGGAGAAAGAGTGGGGGACGACTCTGGTTTGGTGAGAGTGCTGGGTGCCGCTCTCCCTGTGCAGGGGAACAGGCTTGGGGAAGCTGCTGGGAGGGCCAGTGTACCTGCAGGGTCCTGCTGAGAGCCTCGCGCAGTCCTGGAGTCCGGCCACGCACACTTGCAGAGAAGAGCTGGGGGCTTCAACACGATGACATGGTCCTGGCCTCCAGTGCCAGCGAGCTTCACGCCAAGTCCTTACTAGGGAATGGCAGCTCGCGAGTCATGGCCGCCATCTGCTGGCAAAACTAGGATCTGCAAGTGAAAATTAATAGGCAACGTTCAGTACCGCATCGCTCTCCATCCGGTGAAGCCTCTGTACTTCTGTCTGCGGGGCTTGGGCGGGGCTGCCGCTGCTGAGACCTGGGAACAGGAAGCGCCATGGTCTCATTTCAGCAGACGTTTGGATTGCAGGTGCAATCCTTTGCAGCGGTTCTAAGTGCCTTGCGTGCCTCTCATGTACTCTCCAGGGTCTCGCTGGCACTTTTCAGCTGAGGTCATGGAGGCAGACGTTTCCAGCTCCCAGCCAGCACAAGGCAGTGAGGAGTCGGGCTTCCAGCGCAGGCAGGTTGGTCTTAGGGCCTCATTTTTAACCACCAGCCCACCCCGGAGAGATGCAGGCTGGATGCTGAAAGCATGAGGGTCAAAGTGGGTGCTGGAACACAGACGTCCAGGTCAGGACGAGGGCAGGAAGCACGACACCCGGGCTGGGTTCTGTAATACAGACAGGAACCTCCGGGTAAAGCAAGTAGGATGGAAAGGGGGCCAGAAGGAGCCAAGGGGCCGGGGTGCTGCGGGCAGTGGGAGACACTTGAGGACAGGAGGTCCACACTGCCTGAGGCTCCCCGTCCATGTGGGGATAAAGGCGACAAGCCCGAAGGCCAGGGCGTTTGTGACTTCCGTTCTAGTGGAGAGCCCATAGAGAAGCAGCCAGACATGGGGCGGTGTGGTGGTGCAGCGGGTTAATCCACCGCGCATCCCACACGGACATCAGCTTGAGTCCCAGCTGCTCCACTTCCCACCCAGCTCCCTGCTGAGGTGCCTGGGAAAGCAGTAAAGAGGGCCCAAGTGCTGGTGTCCCTGTACACAAGCGGGAGACCTAGAAGAAGCTCCTGGCTCCTGCCCAGCCATTGGGGCCAGCTGGGGAGTGAACCAGAGGATGGAAGATGTGGGTCACCTTCTCTGTAACTCTTTCAAATAACTCCTACACATAGGTGCCAAAGTTGTTTCTTTAAAAAAGTAGCAAGACATAAGCTCCGCTCCAACACAGCATGTCCCCTGGAAGCCGACCCCCAGGCTGATCACAAGGTCCTCTCTGGGGGTGACTCTCAGCGGGGACCTGCAGGACGGGGGGCAGGCAGGAGAGGAGCTGGAGAAGTGGGTGCTGGCACCCTCGGATGGGACACTGAGAGCTTCCCTTCATGCTAAAGGAGACAGGAACGCATCGGAGCTTCCAGTGCGCTTCGGCCCCTGGGTGGAGGGTAGGTGGCTTCAGTGGGGGCAGAAGTGCATACAGGGAGACTGGTCAGGGAGCTGTCGCCATGTGCAGGCCAAATGTGACACAGAGCTGCAGAGGAGTGGAGGGAACCAGGGGCTGGGGAGGGACCTGGCCCTGGGGGTTGGAGAAGACCTGGGTTCTCTGGCTTTGCTGCACTTTGGGGAGGGGTTGGGGCAGCTCCAGAGGCCAAAATCTCTCTTAGCACATTTAATGGCGGGGGTGGAGGGGGTGCACTTTGTCCCCAGACATAGCTGCCAGATTTGAGACAGCTGTCAGGTTTTAAAAGCAGGATTTACAGAACTCCTGCGGCCAGACTGGCTCGCTGGGGGCAGCAGCAGCGTCATGCCGGGAGCAGCCAGCGCCTGAGATGCTAACTAGATCCTGCTCCACACGGGCTAATGCGCACTCCTCATGGCTTCACACTGCAGACCCCCGGCCAGCATGAGGCTAGGGTCATGGGCGCAGGCTGAGCCCACGCTGTCGCTGCTACAGTGCTGTAATGCCGGCGTGCTGCGTGCGGCTTCCACGCTGCCGGCCGCAAATACCGCAGGTGGGAGTCGCTGGCTCCCCCAGCCCCGCCCTGTTTTGAACGTGGACTTCCTGGGCGCACACGGCGGTCTTGGATCTCCTGTACAGAGTGGCGTGTGTGCCGCAGGCGCCCGAAAGCACAGTGATCACAGGGCTCACGGAGGAGGGACGGCCTCAGCTGGGCCTTTGGCAGGGAGGACTTTTAAGAAGATACTCATTTTTGTTTTTCTGAAGGACTGAGCGAGTGAGAAAGATCAAGAGGGATCTTCCATTGGCTGGTTCACTCCCCAAATGGTCACAAAAGTGGGGCTGGGCCAGGCTGAAGCCAGGAGCCCAGAATTCCAAGGTCTCCCATGTGGGTGGCCGGGACCCGAGTACTTGGCCCATGGTCTGCTGCCTCCCAGGGTGCACATCGGCAGGGAGCTGGCATCGGGAGCAGAGCGGGGACTTGAACCCAGGCACTGTGAGCTGGGATGCGGCGTTGGCCCTGAGGCTGGCTGGCAGCCTGACGTGCAGACACCAGCAGGGGTATGCACACACCACGGGGATGCCTTGGAGGAGGTTCGCTGGGGTAGGGAGTGACTCGTGAGGTGTTTCAAACAGCCTCACCAACACCACGGGCTCTGCCACTCCTGGGGCCTGAGCATGGCTGTGCTGACGTCAGACCAAAGGTGCTTGCCCTTCTCTCCGGCATCCCAGGGTATCCCAGTTCACTTCCATTCCTTTCTGAGGCTGAGATCACTAGGCTGAGGCCTGTCCACAGCTCTGCATCGCAGCTCCGGCTCCCCCAGGCCCAGTCTCGCAGCACGGTCTCTGCAGTTTCCTCCTTTTAGCTTGTTCTGATCCCCCAGCCCACCCCTCCTCTCAAGGCACTCCTTTCCATTTCCTGCCCAGTTTCCCAACACACATTCCAGTGCTGGCTTCAGCCCTCACCCAAATCCCCACGCAGCCAGGGCCTCGCAGTGTCTCACGTGTTACAGCCCACAGCAGCGTCTCCCCCATCTCTGCTCCCGACTGCAAAATGACAGCAAGGAAAGCCGTGCAGACACGAGGGGAGACTTCGGACAGGGCTCCGGGCAGGGCTCGGTCCCTCTCCTCCTACCTGATGCAGGTGGCGAGTTGATACGTGGCTGATGCATCTTCCGTGGGATGGGGCTGGACAGACTGGGACATGCTCCATGCGCCTCCCTGGCAGCCTCTGGCGCTGCCCCGTCAGCAGGGTTCAAGCTCCAGGTGCTGCCTTCAGGAACTGCCCCTGTGTGAGGCAGGGCAGCTGAGAGCCCTCCCTGTCCCGCCCACCCATCTCTGCAGCCTCTCTGGGCGGGCTCCAGCTGTGAGGGCCTCCTGAAACCTCGGCCTGTCACATTCCCGCTCTCAGACTATCCCGAGCGCCCAGCACCAGGGATGCAGCCCTCAGCTCAGACCCTCCCGGTCTCACTGTCCCGATTCTGCCCTCAACTTTTTGGCCCCGTTCCACCTGCCCACACCCAGGCTGGGCCGTTCCACATTCCTGTCCCATGCACCTGCTTTGGAAGCCACTGTCTCTCCCGTCACCCAGAAACCCTCCCTCTCCCTCCCTCCCTCCCAGCAAAGCTCAGAACGGTCCTTGCCTGTCTACACACCACCACCTCAGTATCGGGCTGCCTCTGGCACACTCTCTGCTCCTCGCCCGCTTCAGTGGTCTTCACCAACCATGCATCCATGGACTGATGACGTCAAGTGAAATACGTGTTAGACACAAACCTAACATTCACAAAGCACAGCTGAGGTGTCTTGTAGTTCCAAATGAAGCCCAGAAATGAACTAGTGTACCGACTGTAACGATTAAGTTTTTAAATGGCCAGTCACGCTAAATCAGTCTTCATTCACATGAAGTTAATGGACTTTTAAGGAATAATCCTAAGAAACGCAGTGTCTAAGTTAACAAGGACGAATGATGTTATTTTATATTATGATGGGATAGAAATTTTAAAAATCATTAAAGTAAAAAGTTGACTTCCACATTCTGCTGTCTGCTTCCGTGGCCCCGTCTCTCACCGGAGGGTGCTCCAGCAATGTGACAAAACACAGCGCACCAGGTCAGCAGCCCTGGATCACCAAGCGGCGTGCTCTGGGAAGAGACTGGTCCCAATGCTGTCCTCTCCCCACCACGGCAGGCATGCAGGGGTCGCTGTGGATCGACACAGAGCGGTGTACAGGCTGGATGGCACACACGGAGAGCCCTGCGTGCCCCCACAGCAGGCCACCCGACCTGGGCCGAGAGGAGGCACTCAGAGTTGGGACCCTCCGCTTGCTCCAAGGCAGACCCCAGCCTTCAATGCTTGTCTCTGTGACAGGCCATGACGGCTCGCTCTTACTTGGTTAAGTTCTTTTTAAATTATCCCTCCAGCAAATAACAGAGAAATCGATCAACCAGTTAAGCTCTTTACGATGTGTGCAAAATCACCTGCTCTCTTAATGCCCCCTTTCTCCCAATCCACAGGAGATGCTAAAATTAAATAAAAAAAAAAAAAAAAAAGAAAACCACTTCCCACCACAAATTTATATTCTGGTTTCAATGAAAAAACTCTTCATTTTGTCATTTTCATACCACTTTTTTCTTTTTTATTTAAAATATTATACCCAATTGACATACTAGATAACATTGTTTACATTCCAGTGGTGCATGTTTAATGACTAGGGCATGAATGATCAAAACCACAATGATGATCTCAGCATTCCCTACAAAGTGCCCCATCTGCTTGTCTAGAGGAGGAGAATGGAACACGGGAAGGGGAGGAATGAGGAAGGAATGGCATCCAACAGGAGAAAGCAAATGTCAGTCTTCATCCGCAGGTTTCCAGGTCTGAAAACCTTCGCGACAGGGTACTCGAATGAGAAAACAGATGTCACAGTCCAGGTAGACAGCTACTTCAGTTAACTTCATCATTCAGCTAAAAGATTAACAGCTTCTCAAAAATATACCAAATATTGGGCCTACAAAAGTAATTTATTTCTTCGTAAAATTTACTAAGATTTACTCCTTTTGTAAAATGTAAAGAATGGACTGATATCACGAGCAGGTTTCTACTTACAAAAACATACAGTAATAAGGTCAACAAGCACAGCTAACACAATTTCCAAGATACACAGTGAAAGATTGTACATGTGAGTGTCTCTTACTGATGTTGTACATACTTAACTGGGATTGTGTCAACACTGGCTATAAGGTATTTCACGCACATCTATAGTTCACACTCAGGAAAGATCTAACAGTAAGGGCAACAGCTTCCTTGGGAAAGCATAGAAAATCAGTGTGAGGTAGTTCAATAAAAACCTAGTTTAATTTGTAAGTCATTGTGAGACTCGAACATTGTGCAAAACTAATCCACAGGTAATATTTCTCATAAGTTTCAGTAATGAAGAGAATCTAAACCAGAAATGGCCAGAAAGTGTTACTCTTACTAGACTCTCCTTAAGAGCACTTAACTAAGAGCAGTTAGTTTGAAATTAATTAGGACTTTTGTTTTCCTCATGAATTTTCCAATCTTACCCCAAACTATACATTTCTGCTTCAATGCCCTTTACCTCTTCCCCTTTTCTCGCTATTAAGGAAAAATTCGTTTCCTTTGATTGAAGAAAAACCTAAGGGAGATCAGTAGAAACACAACGCACACTAAAATGCAACAGGGGGAGGAGAGGCGACATTTAAGAGGGCCGCTAATGACAGAATGTGGCCCTGGTAAGAGAAGTTTACTGGGGGCACGGGGCTCCATGCATCCACTCCACAGCTAATGCGTGACTAATGAACAACACTCACAAACAAACTACAACAGCATTGTTGAAAACAGACTATGTTTTTACCTCAACACGTTGTGCAGGCCAGTGCCTGGGCAACACCGAAGAGTTACGTCTTCATGGCGTACACCAAGTCCTAACTGTCACCAAGGAGACCACCTGGCTTCCTGCTGCTGCTTGCACTACCAAGACACGGACGTCCTCTTCACCTTCAGCTCCCGACAGCCCAGCAGGACCAGCACAGAGCAGAGGAACGGAGAGCCTGATGACAGAGTGCTGCCCGACACGCTCCAGCGCCTCCAGCACGGGGCTGCACCAGGAGCTGGGCCTCGCTCTCGGCAAGTCCGGCGTGAACACGCTGTGCCTTTAGCAGCTCGGAAACGTGCACACCAGGACCGGTCGGCAGCTGAAGGTGCCTAACAGAGCGAGAAGTGTTCAGCACGCAGCACAGAGTCGAGACGCTCTGCGTGCAACCCCAACACCACAGTCGGTTAACAAACGGTCAGTATGCATTGCAAGGTAAGAGACTGGCACCCGGGAAGACACATGTACAAAGAGTTAGTGTCTCTTTCCTAACCTACAAAGTTGAATAAATCTTGGTCAAAATAATTTTGACAGTAAGACAACTGGTTATTAAGCGTATAAAACTGAAAAACCAAAACTACAAGAAAGGTGGCTTCACACAGGGACTTGACAGCAATGTTGTCATTTAAAAGAAAAAAACCACAAACATTTAAGACGCTTTAAATGTTCTAAAATAAAAAGTACCAATACATATTTAGCTTAATGGATTGAAGAGGAGAAGCTATATTTAGAGAATGCATTTTAAAAACCTAGGGCGTGCAACATTTAACAAACAGACCTTGCTTTTTAGGATATAATTTAAGTATTTTCACTTACATTAAGTGACAAGAGTTCATTTTCTTTGAATTTCACTGAAACACGACGCTTGGCAAGTGGGAGCTGGCATTTACAACCAATGATACAGTCACAACACTTGGTTTTCTGAAATCTGTATCGACAGAGATGACTTACCAGCAAGGAAATAGAAACTAAGGGAATCTTCTGAAAGCATGTCAGCTGTTAAAGTGCAATAGTGACATCATCTACCCAAGACAAAACAAAGTGAAACAACTGGGAAACTAACATGAAGTAAGAACACACTCATGCTAAATCTCTGCCGTAATCGTGACTCTACTCTGTTTCTGTAATTCCAGAGGTGTTCCAGTCTCAAAATCCTAATGCGCCCAATGGAATCAATGCACCATGTCCCATGAGTACAAGAGGCTGCTGAAAAGGCTGTGAGGCAGGAAATCACGACTTTAAATCATCGAGCTAGCTACTTCAAAGTACACAAAGAGGCTAGTGTATTTCAACCTTAAATATTGCACATAAACAATGACCTAAAATACCTTGCTCAGAAGGAATTTGGTACTAAATATACAAATAAATACCAAGCAAACGTTCAGCCACTACATGCTGAGCTCGCTCGCACCTGTTCTCGCTCCTGTTGGTCATGAATTCCAATGTGCTTTCTGCCTAGAACCTCGCCATTCACTTCAGTATGCGTTTCCCTGTTCATTACAAGACATCCCTCTTGTTCCAGAGAGATCAAAGATGCCTGGGGCCATCACAAAATATTTCAGAAATCATGAAACGTCAATGACATTTTACTTAGGAAAAATTCAGTTATAGAGAAATAATTCTGCAGATATAAAATGTAAACAGTTACCATACACTTGTCAGGAGCAGCACCATTCTTGAACTACTCAACATCCACCTTGTGTGTGAGAGTGAAAATCAGATACAAAACAAGACTCAGACTCAACACCACCACTTACGCCTGCTCTGCTCAGTGTGAAGAAACAGTCCTTAGAAAATGATATCCTATATATGGCTGTGTGCTACTATTTTCAGATGAACGGTATATTGCTCATTTGATACATCACCTACGCAAGTCTAAGTAGGTTTTGGAACCTCCCGACAGCTAGTTTAAACATGATTAGGCTACAGGTAGAATCAAATGGCCAGAAACACCAAGAGAACTGGTGTTCAACTGACTGACACTCCATGTAACAGGAAACCAGAAAGGTCCCAGGGCCCGAGGCTGCAGGCAGAGGAAAGACCAGACTTTAGACCACTGCTGGGACCTGCAGCCTGAGGTTTAAGTCAGTGTAGACAAACACAGGCTCATAGCTTGTAGAAGTGAACCATCTGTTTATTTGCATTGAAATGTAGTATTCATGAAGTATCCTCTTGATTTTATGTGATAGGTTTAAGTGTTGAGCATGCCACAGATACACCAGATTCTCTTTAGTTGACTTCTGCTGGGTGTGGTAGGGAGACAGGAAGGTGGTGGGCCTGGCATCTTCAAAGACATGCTCTGAGTTATCCTGCCATTTAGACGATGGGGCTTTTGCCAAAACTTTGGTAGGACTACCTACCAATGGTTGCGACTAAATTAGGATTGGCAAGTAGTAAATATCGGAGGTCTCTCAACACGTTCATCATGTACAGTAGTTATTCCTGAATATAACTGGCTACAGGTTATTTTCCCTCACTCCTCTGGGGTTATTTCATTGATAAGCACATAACCCTGAAGGATAGTATCATGAACAAAACATCTGAAATAAATTCTAATAAAAAAACTATAAAAATCTTAAATAATTCATGATATAGGCAAGTCACCACATAATAGTTGCTTTGATAAACAAAATCTTACAAATTCAGTAAAAAAAAATCAGCAGCATAAGATAAAGCAAATATGCAAAAAATTTAAACCATGATAAAATAATTAGGTTTACATTATACAGTTAATTACAGCAAAAAATACAATACAGTTTTGTTGCTGTTTTAAAACTTAGGTTTTAAATTACATCACTTGAAATTAAAAAAAATAAACTACTTTACTACAAAATGAGTTCTACATTTTTTGAAAAAAATCACTCAAAAATAAGACCACTGAATTGTTTCAGAGTAGTTCTATGAATGACTAGCCGACGCCCCACCCGTCCCACCCCCCAAGGCCCAAGTAGTCATCTACAGCAGCCCAGAGGCCCAGCTGGGGCTTCCAGACTGCTGTCTGTATCCGAGGCCAAAGTCGGGTCTGTTGACATTGAAGACACATCATTGACAGACGACGATGACGATGGATGCTGAGAGCCACTGATCACTGCTGCACCTGTGCTATGAGAAACAAAACAGCAAATCAGTTGCAGAGAGAGTTGCAGAAGCGCTACTTGCACTGTACTAGCCAGTGAACGCTCACTAAACAGAAGCACAAGTGAGAGTCAACACAACGCAAACTTCGAAACATTATCAGGAAGTGAGAATACTGAAAACCCCTGGACAGGACTCCAGACTTGGAGGCCCATTCTTTCCACTTTTACAGTTCAAGAAAATAACTGTACAATTTTTAGAAACGGTCCTGGGGTCAGCACTGTGACACAGAAGTCACCACCTACAACACCAGCATCCCATATGGTCATTAGTTTGAGTCCCAGCTGCTCCCTGCTAATATGTGCTTGGGAAAGCTGCAGGACATGGGCTAAGTGCTGGGGTCCCAGATGGAGTTCCAGCCTCCTGGCTTCAGCCTGGCTCAGCCCTGGCCATTGCAGTCGTTTGGGGAGTGAAGTAGCATGTGAAAGATTGAGATCTCTCTCTCTCTCTTTTCCTCTAACTATACCTTTCAAATAAATATTTTTAAAAGGACCAAAGCAGGATCCATGGATTGGTTTCAGGGTGTCTGTGAATAATACTGATAATACATGCAAAACTGTATGGTACTTTGTTGGGAAAAAACCTCAATAAGCCATATGACTAAAAAAGTTACTAACTACTGCACTATAAAAAAATTGGGGAGGGCTGGCATTGTGGCCCAGCAGGTAAAGCCACTGCTTGCAATGCCAGAACCCTGGATCAAAGTTCTGGCTTGGGTCCCACCTTGCTCTGCTTCTGATCCAACTTCCTGCTAAGGCGCCTGGGAAAGCACTTGGGCCTCTGGCACCCACACTGGAGACCCAGATGGAATTCCTGGCTCCTGGTTATAGCCCAGCTCAGCCCTGGCTGTTGCAGCCAGCTGGGGCATGAACCAATGGAGGCAGATCTCTCTTTCTCCATCTCTGACGCTCTGCCTTTCAGATAAATAAAAAAACTTTTTTAAAAGTTGCTGTTTTCTCACTAAAGAAGAAAAGTCAAAACAACACTTTGGTATTTAGAGCTAAAGCCAAGACAAAGAATCAAATCATTTCAATCTGGGAGGGACCTCAGTTCAACTGCTTCCGTTTACATGAGGTTTCCTGACTTCACGGGGCCACTCAAATAGGCTAGCTGGGTAAACTCAGGTCTTACTTTTAATAAATACTGGATTCGTACCTATGTAGATTTACTAAACAGTTAAATAGGGGAAAACCCTTTAACCAAAGTATTAACTGAATGAGCAATTCTCAGATTTTAAAAACTAACAGGCCGGCACCGTGGCTCACTGGACTAATGCTCTGCCTATGGCACTGGCACCCTGGGTTCTAGTCCCAGTCGGGGCTCCGAATTCTGTCCCGGTTGCTCCTCTTCCAGTCCAGCTCTCTGCTGTGGCCCGGGAAGGCAGTGGAGGATGACCCAAGTGCTTGGGCCCTGCACCCCATGGGAGACCAGGAGAAGCACCTGGCTCCTGGCTTCAGATCAGTGTGGTGCACCGGCCGCAGCGGCCATTGGAGGGTGAACCAATGGAAAAAGGAAGACCTTTCTGTCTCTCTCTCTCTTACTGTCCACTCTGCCTGTCAAAAAACAAAAACAAAAACAAACAAACAAACAAAAAAACAGGAATACTTGACCTAAACAGAGAAACTGTCTCAAGGGGACTGGGCGAGGAAGGGGCAGGGATGTCTTACGCTTCGGGCAGGAGTATGTTCAAGGCCATTCTCATTCTTCTAAGTATTTCTGAACTGCATGATCACCACACAAGGGTCGTTCCAAGTGTGAAGAATTCAAGTTACACAAAGCTCTCAAGAACACATTTATGGAATAAAAATAATGGTGTTCAAACTGAATACTAGCAGAAATGTTCAGGCTGAGGCTGAAATCAAACAAACTGAAAACACCACTCCCCAATCAGCACCTCAGATTTGAGATTCTCCTTCCACTGTCTAATGATGAGCAATAAACGCTTAAGATACTAAAGGTCTTCTGAAAGCTGCCCTCGAACACAAGGAGCAAAGAGGCAGACAGGCAAACAGGCAAATCTTTAGGGGAGTGGGGAATGGGAGACTGAAAGGAATGGAACCACGAAGTAGACAGCATGTGGTAGAAGCTGAACCGCAAAGGAAAGCAGACTGAGTATCTCACGCTTGACAGAGAAGAGGGTGCTGTACCTAGCACCAGGCCCAGGAAAGGCCACTGGGCAAGGTGAGACAGTACACTGTCCTCATCTTACTCAACTGATGAAGCTCTGCAAAACGTGCCTCTATAACTGAATGTAGCTTACACACCATCTACAGTGAACCATGAAACCTTCTCAGACTCACACTGAAATAATCAAACTAGCAAAGAACCGGCTCTAAGCTGCCTAACCTGATCAAATGCACTTTTCAATGCATCATAATTCACTTTTCCATGTGAGGATCAAGTCCCTAAGAGAGATCCTTGTTTTCTCTGAACTGTGCATCACTACAGGAGATTTTCAGACACCTGAATGGTACCCCATAGACAATCTTTAACCTCAGGGATCTGGGTCGTTTTCCTCTCAGATGACTCCCCATACTCATTTCCTATAGTAGTTTTGCTGTTGAAGATTTTATTTTTTTGAAAGGCAGAGTGACAGAAAGGGAGAGACAAGGCCGGCGCCGCGGCTCACTAGGCTAATCCTCCGCCTAGCGGCGCCGGCACACCGGGTTCTAGTCCCGGTCGGGGCACCGGATTCTGTCCCGGTTGCCCCTCTTCCAGGCCAGCCCTCTGCTGTGGCCAGGGAGTGCAGTGGAGGATGGCCCAGGTTCTTGGGCCCTGCACCCCATGGGAGACCAGGAAAAGCACCTGGCTCCTGGCTCCTGCCATCGGATCAGTGCGGTGCGCCGGCCGCAGCGCGCTGGCCGCGGCGGCCACTGGAGGGTGAATCAACGGCAAAGGAAGACCTTTCTCTCTGTCTCTCTCTCTCTCACTGTCCACTCTGCCTGTCAAAAAAAAAAAAAAAAAAAAAAAAAAAAAAGAAAGGGAGAGACAGAGTGATCTTCTATCCACTGGCTTCCTCCCAGATGTCCACGACAGCTGGAGGTAGCCAGGTCAAAGCCAGGCACCAGGAACTCCACCTGGTCTCCCACCGGGCGGGCAGGAACCCAAAGATGTGGGCCATGTGCTGCCTCAGGTGCATTCTGAGGAAGCTGGACTGGAAGCATGGAGAAGCCAGAATTCCAACGAGGCACTACACCAGGGATGTGGGGATCCTGAGTGGTGGCTTAACCCACGGTGACAAGGCCCTCCCAGAAAGCTCATTTTAGTATTAGCCAAACCAAAATAAAGATAGGAAAACAATCCACTGGGAAAAAATTGTTTTTAAAATCAAGTGAAAAGAGCACTGTGATTATCTGACACTTTGCTTTATTAAAGATTATTCCTTGTTATCAGACATAATCAAGAGCTAACTATTTGCATTTTTTAAATTATTATTTTGACAGGCAGAGTGGACAGTAAGAGAGAGAGAGACAGAGAGAAAGGTCTTCCTTTGCCGTTGGTTCACCCTCCAATGGCCGCCGCGGCTGGCGCGCTGATCCGATGGCAGGAGCCAGGTACTTATCCTGGTCTCCCATGAGGTGCAGGGCCCAAGCACTTGGGCCATCCTCCACTGCACTCCCTGGCCACAGCAGAGAGCTGGCCTGGAAGAGGGGCAACCAGGACAGAATCTGGCGCCCCGACTGGGACTAGAACCCAGTGTGCCGGCGCCGCAAGGCGGAGGATTAGCTCAGTGAGTCGCGGCACCGGCTTTGCATTTATTTTTAAAAGATGTTTATTTTCATCTACTTGAAAGGCAGAGACACACATACAGACATATCTTCCATCTCAGGTTCACTCTCTATATGTCTGCAAAAGCCAGGGCTGGACCAGGCCAAGCCAAGAGATCAGAACTCAATCCAAGTCTCCCACATTGGTGCAGGGAAGACAGACAGGAAGTGGAGGTGCTGGACTTAAACCAGCACCTTGATAGGAGATGTGGGCATGCCATCTAGCAGCTTAACCTGCGATGCCTGCCCCAAGAGCAACCTAATTCACTAATACTCTTCTTTGTAAGTTGTTACTGAGAATCTAGAAAATGTCCAGAAACCTAAAGTAACCGTAAGCAAGTACTGTCTAGGATCCAAATTATTCAGTTATAAATTAAGGACAAAAACAACTGCTCAAACTATTTCATGAGATTGTTCTATTCACTAACATTTGGCCCTGAGTCACGTGCTACTCACCAGGAGAGTATGCTAAGGTATACAGCTGTCCCAAATAACGGACTGTCCTAACCCCACCTGAGCCTCGGCCATGCATAGTTCAATCATGCTGCTACTGTGCAGTCACTGTAGTAGAGCTTTCACTTGTTACCAGCAAACTGTCGAGGAAAAGCCATTTCCAAAATCAGTAGAAGCTGCTGAATCTGATTAATATTTTCAAAAAGATCTGCATTGCAATTTTGGAGACTGCATTCCTAACCTAGGATCTAAAATGAACAACTGCAAAATATAATAAAAAAGCATGGGAAATTACAAAAATTATTTAAACTATGTTTACAGTATATCACATCCATCTGAAAATATAAAAATATTTTGCTCAAAAACAAGATGATAGATGTGACTGCCATTATTTTATCAAAACGTAGAAGAGTTTTAGAGGGATTAAAATGGCATCTTTTTAATCAAAAACATATTTTACTGGGGCTGGTCTGGTGTGTAGCAGGTTAAGATGCAGCTTACAAGCCTGGCATCCCATACATGAGCACCAATGAGTCCCAGCTGCTCTGTTTCCAATCCAGCACCCTGCCAACGCACCTGGGAAAGCACTAGATGATGGCTCCAGTACCTTGGTTCCTGCCACCCATCTGGGAGACCCAGATAGTTCCAGGGTTCTAGCTTTGGCTTGACCCAGCCTGGACACTGCACCCATTGGGGAGAGAACCAGTGGATAGAAGATCTATCACTTGCCTTTAAAATAAAAATATTTATCTTAAAATGTTTTACGAACACGTAGTAATTGTTCTTATGTATGGGTTGCAGTGTGATGATACAAATATACAATGTATAATGATCAAATCAGGCTAACAAGCGCCTCCAGCTCCTTAAACATCATTTCTCTGTGAAGGGAACCTTCACACTCCTCTCTTAGTTTTTTATATTTATGTGAAATGTAGTTACTCTACTGTGCTACAGAGTATCAGAACTTACTCCTCCTATGTAACTATACATATATATATTTTTTAAAAAGATTTACTTATTTATCTGAAAGGCAGAGTTACAGAGAGGCAGAAGCAGAGAGTGAGTGAGCGAGAGAGAGAGAGGTCCTCCATTCACTGGTTCACTCTCCAGATGGCCACAACGGCCAGAGCTGCACTGATCTGAAGCCAGGAACCAGGAGCTTCTTCCGGGTCTCCCACATGGCTGCAGGGGCCCAAGAACTTGGGCCATCTTCCAGTGCTTTCCCAGGCCATAGAAGAGAACTGGATTGGAAGAGGAGCAGCTGGGACTTGAACTGATGCCCACATGAGATGCTTTACCTGCTATGCCAGCCCCTTTAAGTATATTCTTATACAACTTATCAATGCGCCCTCTATCTCTCCTTCATCCTACACTTCCTAACCTCTAGTGACCCTTAGTTGAATGAAAAAAAAGGTTTCAGCTTCCACAAACGAATGAGAACAAGTTGTACTTGTCCTTCTGTGGCCGGCTTATTACACTTAACACTAGGTCCTAAAAATCTATCCACATTGCTGCAAATGCTAGGATTTCATTTTCCTTGATGTATGATTATTACAGCATGTATATAGCATTTTCTATACCCGTTCATCTGTTCATGGACATCTCTGTAAATTCCGTATCTTGGTTACTGTGAATAGTACTGCAGTAAACAGGCAGTGCACCGATTAAATTTCATGTAGGGTAAATTTCAGTAGGGTAGCAGGATCATACAGCACTTCTTTGTTTTCTGAAATCTCTCCACACTGCTATACTAAATTTTATATCCACCAGTGTGTTCATGAGTTCCCCTTTCTCCATATCCTCACCAACAACTGCTGCATCTTTTTGATAACAGCCATTCTAACTGGGGTAGATATTTTATTGTGGTTTTGACTCATATTCCCCTGAATTATCAGTGATGTCCAGTATCTTTCCACACTGGTTGACCGTGTCTGGATGATTTGCTCTTTTTAAATTGGATTTTAAAATTTTTGCTGTTTAGCTCATTGTATTATGAGTATTTTAGATGTTAACTCCTTACCAGATGAGTATTTTGCAAATATGTTCTTCCATTTGTCTGGCTGTCTCTGCACCCTGCTGATGTGCAGGAGCTTCTTTGGTGGATAAAATACTATTTGTTTAGTTTTGCTTTTTTATTTTTACCCGTGCATTTGGGATTTTACCCAAAAGAGTCACGGCTTATACTGGTATCTTGAGGCATTGTCTACCTATGTTTTCTCCTAGTAGTTTCACAGTTTTGGGTTTTAGTTTAGGCCTTTAATCATTAGCAGCTGATTTCTGTATACTGTGAGGTAAGATCATTGTGTCATTCTCCTGCAAATTCCACTTTCCCAGCACCATTTACTGAAGGGTGTCCCGTCTGCAATGTATGGTTCTGGCAGCCTTGTGGAAGGTGTGCTGGCTGTAAAGGCATGGATTCATTTCGGGGTTCACACCAGCTTAGTGACTCTAGCTTTGTGATAAGTTCTGCCTGAGACGGAGGGATTGAGATGCCGTGCCCCGTCATTCTGTTTGCTCAAGACCACCTGTGCTACTGTGGTTATTCTGTAGTTCTAAATGAATTCTGGCATTTGTTTTTCTATTTCTGTGAAGAATGCCGTTTGATAGGGATTACACCCCATCTATACATTGTTTTGAACAGTATTGACATTTTAACTCCCAATCTACGATTACTTGATTTTTTTCACCAGTATTTTGTAATTTTCATTGTAGAGGCCATCTACTTCCTTGGATAAATTTATTCCTAAGGCTCTTTTCATTTCTTTGTTTGGCAGTTACTATGAATGAAATTTCTGACTTCTTTTTCTGCAAGTTCATTACTAGTGTTTAAAAATGCTGTTCATTGTACGTTGGTTTCATAGTTCACAATCTAACTGAATTTGTTAGTTCTACCAGTTATTGGTGGAGTTATTAGATTTTTCTACATATAAATTCATATCATCTGCAAACAGGGGTAACTTGAGTTCCTCCTTCCCCATGTGGTAGCTGCCCTTTCTTTCTTTTGCCTTCTTCGCTAAGACTTCCAATGTCTCCCCTCAGTTTTGCTTGCCTTGAAAGGTTTTGTTTCTTCCTCATTTATGAGGATAGCTTTACTGGGTATATTATTCATGGCTGACAACTGTTTTACTTTCAGGACTCTGAATCTATCTCATTCCTTCTTGGCCTGTAAGGTTTCTGCTGAGAAGACTACTGTCAGTCTAATGTCAGCCTTATATATGCCTTATGCCTTGATGTTGTTTTTTGCCTTCTGAAAAACTTATTTACTATTATGAAAACTCTAACAGTTTTTCTATGTAAAACATTTGTTATTCTATGTTCCATTTTCTGAACTTAAACTTCCTCATCTGTAAAATGTGAATGATCTCCGACCAGGGACTGCAGAGGATGAGTGAAATAAAGAACATAAATCACTAGTTTTATGTACTTAATATGTATATGTTACCTACCATTTCCTCAATTCTTTATACTTTCACATATACTAAATCAAATATAAAATCAGTTTATGATCAAAGAAAATGTCTTTTAATTCCTGAAAGCCAGTTTTCTTCTTAGAAAATGAACACATTCTTGTAATGGTTTTTATGTTATTGACTTAGTTCAACAAATTAAAGAACATGAAAGGCAAGCACGGTAACTTGGTGTTGTGCATACCTAATCCTGCAGGGGAGGTTTTATTTACCTAAAGTAAAAAACCGTTAAAAGGTAGTCAGTGTTGTGGTGCAGTGGGTAAGGCCGCTGCCTGTGATGCAAGCATCCCATATGGGTGCCACATTGTGTCCTGTGTACTCCACTTCTGATCCAGCTCTCTGCTCATGGCCTGAGAAAGCACAGGGAAATGGCATAGTGTTTGGACCCCTACCATCCATATGGGAGAACTGGATGAAGGTCGGGGCTCCTGGTATTGGCCTAGCCCAGTGTTGGCCATTGCAGCCATCAGTGGATCAAAGATCTCTGTCTCTCCCTAACTTTTTTTTTTTTTGACAGGCAGAGTGGACAGTGAGAGAGAGAGTGAGAGAGAGAGAGAGAGAGAGACAAAGGCCTTCCTTTTCTGTTGGTTCACCCTCCAATGGCTGCTGTAGCCGGCGAACCGCACTGATCTGAGGCCAGGAGCCAGGTGCTTCTGCCTGTCTCCCATGTGGGTGCAGGACCCAAGGGCCTGGGCCATCCTCCACTGCCCTCCTGGGCCACAGCAGAGAGCTGGCCTGGAAGAAGAGCAACTGGGACAGAATCTGGCGCCCCGACTAGGACTAGAACCCGCTGCACCGGCCCCTAACTCTAACTTTCAAAATGAATAAATATATCTTTTTAAAAAGCTGTTAAAACCATAAAAGGTAAATGTTGAAATTTTAGAAATTTCTTTTTTTAAAAAAATATTTATTTATTAGAGAGAGAGAGAAGACAGAAAGAGAGAGATCTTCGATCTATTAGTTCCCAGCAACAGCTGTGTGGAAGCCAGGAGCTTCTTCCGGGTCTCCCCCGTGGGTGCAGGAGCCCAAGTACATGGGCCACCTTCCACTGCTTTCCCAGGCCTTAGCAGAGAGCTGGATCGGAAGAGGAGCAGCCGGGTCTCGAACCAGCGCTCACAGGAGAGGTGGTTGTCACAGGCAGCAGCTTTACTTATTATGCTACAATGCCAGCCCCAAGATAAAAAATGGTTTTTAATCTGTTTTTCAATGGAATATCAGAAAAAGATACACATTTTATGAAGTCAGTTACTAATATATTAGTACTATGCATTGGTACAACTGTACCAATGCTTTCAAATTCAACATCCTAAATTTATTCCTTATACTTTCTCAAAATTTGAAAATGGTATTCAATAAGGACAGAACTGCAGGTTTCAGACCACTGAAAATTATAACACAAGAAGTAAACTTTAGGGGCCGGTGCTGTGGTGTAGTGGGTTAACACCCTGGCCCGAAGCAATGGCATCCCATGTGGGTGCCAGTTCAAGACCTGCCTGCTCGACCTCCCATCCAGCTCTTTGCTATGGCCTGGGAGAGCAGTGGAGGATGGCCCAAGTCCTTGGGCCCCTGCACCCGCACAGGAGACTGGGAAGAAGCTCCTGGCTCCCGATCGGCACAGCTCCAGCCGTTGCAGCCAATTGTGGAGTGAACCATTGGATGAAGACACCCCCCCCCCCCCCCGCCTCTCCTCTCTCTGTGTAACTCTTTCAAATAAATAAATAAATCTTTTTTAAAAAAAGTAAACTTTAAACTTAGCCAATCTTATATTGTAACCAACCTAAAGGAGAGGGCTGCCCTCGTATAACTCCATTCTTGGTTCTTTCTTCCAAATCCATCACTTCCTTGTATATCAATTCTGAAAAAGAGGTGGACAAAAATGAATTTTTTAGTCTGAGAGCCAATGTCAAGACTGCAAGTCAAATTATTTGTACGTATTAAGTACTTCAAACAATGTCCCTCCAATGACAGAGGGTCTATAAGTGTCGGTCTAAGATTCACAGATTATAACAATTCCATGATTCTCAACCATAAATTATATGAAGGAAACTTAAAAATCTCCACTTAAATGTGTCTTGAGTTGGTTCAAGGACAGAGCTACGTTAGACTGAACTACACTGTACACATATTGTACACGTTACTCCGCCATTATAAAAGCTTATTTAACTCTGTCTCAGGGAGGGCTTAAACTACATTCATCTCCTAAACTAAATTCACTTTCCTCATCCCTGGCACAGTGCTTAAGCACACAGTAGGTGCTCAACCAAATATCTTTTAAAAAGCATTAAATCAAACAGCAGGTGGAAGCCTCTTCAGTCAGGATGGAATATAAACGTATTTTATTAAGGAAAAGCAGCAGGTAGCTTCAATCACTTCTGAGAAAGCAGTCAAGAGTGACAGGAACCCTTGTTTTCTCAGTAGACTTGAGGACAGAAGGCAGACTGCGCTGAGGACTGTTCTGAGACACACTGGGTGCTCCTGCGGTGCTGAGGACTGTCCTCACCGAGAGGGACACCCGATGCTGTCTGTCGGGTGCAGGCCTCCTGCACTAAATCCCTCTGATCCTCACTGATGCTAAGTGTGGTGTGCCTTGTGAGCCTGGTAGATGCCAATTATTCCTCATCCTTGGGTCATGGGTTCTTTTGGATACAGCATCAAACAAACATGCTTAGAATTAGAATTTCAAGGAGTCTGTGTAATTCCCAAAGATTAAAGTCACAATACAGAATTTGTGACTACAGAGTATGGTTTTTCTGTTGATAATAAGGTAAAATTAGTGGATACACTGGAATGAACCAGAATTTGCTTGCTACTATAATTGTAGACTTAGCAGGAAAAAAACAGTCTTGATAAAAGAAAAAAATAGGAGATGCTTTTCTTTAAAGAAACAAAAATGAGTGATAAACACTCCAGAGTAAATGACTTTTTAAAAAGAGAAAACAGTGTCCCTTTGTGAAAAGAGATTCACACAGAAGAAACAAAGTTATTTAGTAATACTGACTAGGAAAGCAACTGAAACTAATAGCTGTGGCAAGACACTTCTTTTTTTCCTGCTTGAGAGCTAAAACTCTTGAGCTAATCTTGAGAAAGGTGGTTTATAGATGGTTACTGAAATGCACCCAGATTCAGGAGAACAAGATGCAGAATAAAGGTGACCATTTCTAAAGTAATCAAAACTCCCAAATATATCCTTTTAAATGAAAAACTATTTCCTTGATTTTAAGATGTAGTTTTCTAGTTCATTACCTCTGAAATTGGCTACATCTGGTAAGCAATGATGCAGCATAACTGGTAGTGTTTCCCATTACAATTCTATGAAATACTGGACATGTCTGTTCTAAGCTAATGGGACATAAAAAATATCAAGCTAATATTTTAATAATGTTCTTGCCAGAGTTACATCCTTCACACTATTATTACAGATTCAGATGCAGCAGGCTGTCCCCAAATCATTCTGCTGGTCTCTGCTAACCCTGCTTACTCAAAGAACACTAATGTCTGGTTTTTCCTAAGAAGAAAGAATCAAATTCATTCTTCCCAAAGTAAATTTACAGATGGGTTACCTGTTCAGGTTTACACCTCCCAGTCCCTTCTGCTTTCCCAGCATTCGATAATCATTTCCTAATAATAGGCCTACTGCCTTCACTGAAGATAAGGTGGAAAACAGTGATTTGCCCTAAGTTGCACAATTAGAAAAGCAGTTAAAACACCAAATGACAAACAATATAAACGCGGTAAATGGGATCTAAAAATTAGCTAGCCCAAATGTTCCAAATCTTTAGAAGAATTAATATTTGCATGACTATCAACTACAGTCATACAACAGAAAAGATTACTATACTATTAATTTCTTAATCTGTTAGCATTCTGTTGAAAAGGGAGGGGGAACCACTGACTGACACTTAGCTATATGATACAACTAAAATTTTTGTGGGGATTAGTTAGAAATAACTGAAAAATATCCTTTGACACAGCACATTTCCTGGAATGTTTCTTAAAGGCCTATTCTCGCATGTGCACAGGAATACTGTAGAGTTGTCTATCAATGTAATAGACTAGACTCAATGAAAATGCTCTTCAAGAGGCAGCTGGATATAGAAATTGTGATACATCACAGAGCAGAACCAAATGGGGCAGTCACATGAACCGAGAAACACCTTCAAGATGTATGATTATTGCAACAAGGCAAGTGTGCATAGTACACATAGTGTAGAACAATCTGTGACTTACAAACGGTAGGAGAAGGGAGAGGGCATACACCAAATACAGCTGCATTTTTACAGACTAAGGAAAAATTCAAGAGAAACACTAATGTGTATTTGTGTTTGGGTAGAGAACTTGGAAAATTAAAATTTGGTCAGTGAGAGAAAGGGACATACTTTCCACTGTTGTAAAAACATTAGGTATCATATTATCAATAAATACCAGTTATGAATAATGGAAAAATATCATTAATTTCCCTAACATGATGAACAAATCACATTTCAAAGAGGCAGAAGCTCTTTCAATTTTCTAAGAATCTGATAAATGTTACCTTTCCATTCTTCTATCGTGTGTTCCCTTTCGTCTAACTGTTTGTCAGGAATCTTTGGTGGTGGCTGGAAAACACAAAGCAACAATAATGGAGACAGTTTATTGGGAGTATTATCAATCAGACAGGAGACTTGTAAAAATGCACCATTAGACCAAGACTGATCAATCGTCAACAACCTTCTTATATATATAGACAGACCAGTTTTGGAAGATTCCTTCACTGCAGAAAGAATGATGCTTATCTTTTGCTCCAGCTTTTGACTTTGTTGCACATTTATATCACAGAACTTTGCAAGGCTTTGGATAAGATAATTTTTTTCTAAGGTAAGACGTTTCCCAGAGCATTCAATATCCTAGCCTCTCTGTCCCTCTGATCAGGTATCAAGGCAAGAAATACTAGGGGGTGACTTGATTTTGTATAGGTGTGGCTTGGACATGACCTTAGCTTAAGGCGCTCTTCATGTAAAAATAGAAAACACCATTATAACATTCCTATTTTTTTACTTAAAAGTACAAGGTCTCCTGCAAATGTAACTTAATGCCAACTCTAAAAATGCAGCATATTCTTCAAACATTAAGAAAGAACTTACGGCTTCTGCTTCAGAGGGATCGTACCAGACATTGATGTATGGGTGCTGGAGAGCTTCGTCTACAGAGATCCTCTTAGATGCATCTATCACCAGCATTTTAGAGAGCAAATCCCTTGCCTGACTGGCTGTAAACATAATGATGTTACCATGCTTGTACTCAGAAAGGTTCTCAATTTATCAATAAATTTTCAGAAACCTGATATTATCTTTTATTTTAAAAGCCTATGTTTTAAAAACAATAAATTTTACTATAGCATCAGGTCATACATAGGATTAGAAATATAAAATTAAAGATAAAAATAACTAAAACCTCACTTCATCCCACCATCCACAGATAACCTTGGGTTTATGTCCCATAAGAATATGAATACGCACACACCCCACACATGAAATGGGACGACATGTTTGTAAAAAGTACCTTTAAGCTTGTTGTGTTCCGAGTCAGCTGGGAAAAGCACATCGGGGAAGAGCCTCTCAAAGCTATATCCGGCATACTTAGGTCTGTTTTCCACGTAAGTCCTTACTGTTGGTTGCAGTTTCTTCATGAACTCAGGACATGGTGTTCCCAGCTGTTCAATAACTTTATTCCACTGATCAATATCTAATATCAAGTAGCTAAGAAAAATACTCTGTATCTAATGTTCGACACATTAGTTATATCCACATTAAAATACAAGAAAATGGAAATTTCTAAAATCCCAAGAAAGAATGTGGCGGTTATAAATTTTGTATCTCACAGCCACCTTGCAAAAGGCACTGACGGTAGGTGACAGAAACGATCAGTGAATGAGCTCTGCCGACCCTGTTGACTGTGTGTGTGTCTGTGTGTGTACAGACTGATTTCACCATAAAAGCAGAAGCTGAACCTGACCACACTGTAAACATTAATTATAAGTAACTCAAACAAAAAACTCATGGTTATTACTATCCACTGGGATTCTAAATGTAAACTATACATAATTTTAACATACAAAATTGCCATTTTCTTCTAAATTATCAGAAAATTTGAATGCATTTCCTAGAGAATAAGAAATATTTCTACAATCAGTTTTGCCTTTGAGTTTTCCACACCAAGAGAGAATAATCAGTAGCAAGAAAAATTGTGGCTTTGATAAAAGCGGCATTTTCCTTTGCCATTCTTTATTTATCCGATGTTAATTTTCTGTAAAGTTCTGAAACTTATGAAACAGATCCGCAACTTCAATAAATTTTAAGGTTAGGATTCCCTGTTTTCCTTTTTCCTAGCTTTTACAGAATTCCAAGACCCTGAAGTCCTCATTCTAAAACTCAAAGTGACCTTTCTCATTCTTCCTCCCTAAAGAATTCTAAGCATTACCAGTTAACAAAAACTTAAGAGATCAGTGTTAATATGAATATGGAAAGCAGTCAGATGAACAAAAAGCATGAACCAAAATTTAACCACCACCACATAAAACTACTGCTGCTGAAATTCTCAGATGAAAGAATCAGTATGTTGAGTGATGAGACAACAATCAAAAAACACAAATACACACAGTAACAAAAAGTGTGGGGGGGAACAGACAAAACAGAAGGATGGCCAGATGCAACAGATAATTCTAAAATTCATATTAAGTTGTAGGTGTTTTTAGACTTACTCAAGTGTATTATTAGAAATTTTTAATGCAAGCCATGACTTTTGATTTAGTTCAATAAATCAACTCAAAGCCAGCCAGTAATTATGGGTGATTACACTTGAGCAGGTTTCAGTATTAACTTATGAAACAATCAATGAGGGAAAGGAGAAGTCTATGCCAATAGCAGGTGGTATTTTGAAAGAATAATTTAACAATGCTTATATTAGGGAGAGACAGATGCATTATACCTGACCCAGCTGTCATACATTTTGACCTTTAGAAACTACACTTTAGGCCAAAGATAAGGATACGATCTGTACCTGGGAACAAAACACCACCTTTGATCATTTCTCCCATGATGCACCCAACTGACCAAATGTCAACTGAAAACAAAATGCAATGACATTAACATAAAGATTTTGGTTAAAATAAAAAAAATAAACATTAAAAAAAAGTCACGCACACCATGTATACTTTCAAATTATAAAAAGCAGTATAAAATAAAAATGAGTGACAGTGAATGTGCTCTGACTACCAGCAGAGACTGTATGTCCTGCTGCCAGATGCAGCCTATAAATATTTCAGTTTCTTATCAACAATTTTTGAACTATAACAGCCACAAACTTTACGTCTGTTTTTTAAAAAATGGTATGTATGAATGTAGCATCTTATTTTCATTGGAGAACAGAAGGAAGTCCATCACCTAACTAAACTGCTGCAGCAGCACAAGGATACAGTCCCTTCCTGGAAAGAGGATTTTGTGGCAAACCATTTCTCCCATAATGCACCCCACAGACCATAAATCCACTATATGTTTGCAGCACAAAAGAAGGAAAAGCAAAGCAAAAGGTCATTAAAATCAAAGAAGCATAATATGACTGCATCATATAAAAACTGCAACACATCACAAAAAAGAAAAAAGTGATTTTAATTTTAGCTAATGGAATAATTTAAAACAAAGTATTTTTCAAAAGGCTTTCGTTCATAAAAGAAAACAAAGTGTGGCATTTTAACTACATTATCTAATTTTAAAGTGAGAGATATGCACAGAAATTGCATAAACAAAAAAAAACCCTGCCATTTTGTGATTAAGAATTTGTTTATCAAATATAAAATAGAACCAAACACAAGCTTTATAAATAAAGCTAAAGCTAAAAATATACACAAGGTAGTAAAACTATAAAAATAAACATGCTAATTTAAAGTTCAACTGTGCATTATACTCTCTCTTTAAGTTAAATGAAAGAAAAAAGCATGAGCAGAAATAATTCAGCAGATTAAAATACTTAACAGAAAGAATGTCTCTATGAATAACTAGTTAATCTAGAAGTCTTCAGAAAATTTTAAACTGGATTTCACAAATTTATTTAATGAGAACAGGAGAAGAGCTATGTTTAATTCTGAATCAAAAGACAATTATTTTCTCGTCAACAATACACTATATTTACTATGTCAAAAGGAACAAGTGCATGGAGAATGAACAATCTAATTAATTAAGAAAACCTAGTAACAGAAGTGTATTTTATATATTTCCTACCTAAAGGTTTTTTTTTTTTTTTTTTTTTAAATCCAAGCTGCTTTTGGTTTAAGGTTAAGCCTTGGCTGGACAGAGTATGACACTTTCACAGATTTATAAACTCCAGAGTCTCCTTGCAGACACACTGACCCTCACCAACTTTACAGGGCAGTCCTTATCAATGCCATACAGAAGAGGCAATTTGGGAATCTCCACCTAGGTATCAAAACCAATCACAGACCCTGGGTTTAAATATCTGATCAAAAAGGAGAGTAGGTGCTTGTAGTTGAATAGGAAAGGGGGGAGGATGAGTGATTTGAAAGGAGAGTCTCAGAGACCTGCATCTGGTTTTAAAGCATGAAGGCCCAAGTGCTGAAGAGGGAAGCAGTGGGATGCGCTGGAGGGAGACCCCCCGCTGCTGCACTTGGAGAGGCAGTGTGTACCATTATTAAACTCCTACACCGAGCAGTCCCTGCACTCAACAGTCTTAGCAGCAAAACTGGGAGGAACTTCTGGAAATCCTGCGGAACTAAAGTTTCCCTGAAATTTCCTTTTAAAATGTCTATGAATCTTTTTATATTTATAATACAACTCAGCTTTCAAGGCTAAAATTTTGGAGGAACAGTTAATATTCACAAATCAGCCTATCAAAGAATGGAACTTTTTTCTAGTTTTTATTTTGGGCAAGACTTAGAATAAATCTTTCCTAAGTGTTTCATAGAAAATGGCAAACTTTGGTTAAATAGCCAGAACACAACTATTTCAGTAACCTTTGCCAACATATTATGTTTAAAACCTATTTTTCAACAAAAAGAAGGTATTCTATGGGCCAGTGAAGACTAAGACCACGGTTAAGACTGATTCATGCACAAAACTCGCCTGAAAGGGATGAACTACTTAGTCTATTGACAGTTTAAAATATAACCCCTTATCCCACACTTCCAAATGCCCTGAGCTAGCTTACAATGAAACAGGTAAAACAAGGTTACTGAAACAGCTGGGTGTGGGTAGGAGATGTCACTGAAGAACATCTGGCTAATATGGGTTATACTGAGTAAGTGCACCATCTGACTCAGTTTCCTGGGGTAGGGCAGCAGTAAGATGATCTTTTATACTTCTTAGCTAGGAGTATGTGTCAGTTCTTTTTGAGTTTCTCTTGGCGCTACCTTCTGGTAGAAGGCTATCCCAAGATCACATTTATAGGATACTGACATGTTACACAATCTGTGATAATCAACAGTTCACAACAAATGCAAAAGCAATTTCTGTATTAGTCACACACACACACACACAAACCCTCTAAACATTAGGCAGAGAATAGGAAAATAGAATAGCAAGTTTACTTAAGAAGAAAAAATTGGCAATGAATGTTTGAAGTAATTGTTTTTAATTAGCTCGGAAAAGAAAAGGAAATTAAGCTAAAATCTTAAATTCAATGGTATCTTTCAAAAAAAAAGTTTTAAAGTTTGGCTTGATACAGTTTGATTCAGTGAACTCCTGATTTAGTTTCCTTTCTAAAAAAAGTCTAGGTCTGATTTTAGGGAATATTTTGAATTAAGTCACTATGTTACAGATTAATTCAATAGAATCCCATGCAGACTTAGCCATCTCCTAAATTTTCAAGGCTCAACAAAATTTTACCCCTAAATATAGGTATAAGAATTGTTTAAATTCACTATCTGTATCCCAGATAATATTCTTCAACCTTGATGTTAAGGTTGATAAATAATACTGTATGCCATTTCCTTACGGCTGGATACAAGGCTTTGATGAAACATCATGGCTTCCTACAAAAGGTCACTTTAGTTTTATTCATCGGCTTTGCAGAATGGCCTGATGACACTAAGTGCTACCGCTATTAACTCTGACTTCAAGGGAGCTAGAAATATGGGCAAATATCACTAATGCACATAGATTACTACTAAGAGGAAACCGTAAGAACACTATATACTGCCCTGCATACAGAAGTCAATGCTCATTTTCAAGTTTAGGCAAGCACAGGACAAGGGCTATGGCAACGAATCCTCCATCCAATGGCAGTACTGATGGGATGAATCTGTCTTAAATAAACAAGGCCCTCACACCATCTCCCAATTTTATGACAAAATTTATAGTTACTTTCAAATGTGATACACATTTCAAACAGTAACACACATTTAACTACATGCACTTCAGTGAAAGTATTTAAATAAGAAATCTGATGGATCAAAGAAACTTAGCAGAGTATTTCAAATAAAAACAGAGTGCTGACCGTTCTCCTTGTAGCCCATGCCCAGGATGACCTCAGGCGCTCTGTAGTAGCGAGTCACCACATAAGGCGTCATCATAAAGCTTGTTCCTGCAGTCCTGGCCAGTCCAAAGTCAAGGATTTTCAAAGTGCAGTCTGATTTTACTACTATATTACTGGGCTTTAAGTCCTTCAGAAAATAAAAATAAGAAATGACCACTAGATGACATACACAGATTTTTCAGTTCATAAAGTTATCCTGTCACTTGTTTAATAACTTATATTAATCATGTTCCTCACTGTAATAATACGGTACAGACTCATCATGAAAAAGCAAAGCCAGTAAGTCAGCTTAAAGGCATATTTTATTTAAGAATATATACCATTATTAGAGAAATTAGTAATGTCTTATTCATAAGAAACTATAACTAGCTAGAAACTTTTGGTCCAACAGAACAGAAAAGGCCTCTCAAAGCTCATGTAAGAGCCACTATGCTAAGTCACAGGTGAGTCACTTGCATACTAAGTACACATTTTTAAATGTTGTAAAATAACAACAAGCTTTACACAGACATCACAGATTCACAATAGGTCATGCCTTCAATCCTAGTCAATGCTACTTGACCTTTCAGACTGGCAGACACTCAGTTTTAATGGTCTACGGAAGTCCCTATCAAAAAACTCATACAACTTCTGCCTGCCTGTAGATAGAGGACATTATTGTCTTAGTGTCACTAATCCATAATTTACATGTTACTGGTACTCCTAAATATTGTGAGAGGAATTTCCCACCTGACCCCAATCAGAAGGAATTTTGTGCTATCCCCATTCAAAAGGCAGGCAGTGTCCTAAACATTTATGGTTTCATGTTCAACACTCTTTGCCCACTAGCTTTGATGAATTCTATCAAGAAGGCATATATCCACAACATGAATAATGGCATCACACACACTGATGAGCAGTACATATTAAACATCAGGCACTAAAGGGAAACAGACCTGGGCTGAAAGACAAGGAACACTTCTATAATGTCTATGTCTACTACAGCATGTATGAGTGGCCTTCAAAAAGTTCATGGAAAATGTACCCTCTACAAAAATTAAGCATGGAATTTAAAAATTTTCTACTCAAAAATAAATTTACCTTTCAATTCCATTTTCCCACTGACTTCCTGAAGTACCCTACTATTGTTGTCTTTAGCATATATTTTTTTAAAGATTTATTTATTTATTGAAAGGCAGAGTTACAGAGGCAGAAGCAGATATAGAGAGAGGTCTTCCATCTGCTGGTTCACTCCCCAAGTGACCGCCACGGCCGGAGCTGCGCCAATCTGAAGCCAGGAGCTTCTTCCAGGTCTCCCACGCGGGTGCAGTGGCCCAAGCACTTTAGCTATCTTCTGCTCTCCCAGGCCATAGTAGAGAGCTGGATCAGAAGTGGAGCAGCCGGGGCTTTACCAGCTACGCCACAGCGTCGGCCCCACCTTTATTATATTTTGATGTACTCATAGGTGGGTTTAGAAAGCATATAATTCAATGACTTTATGAAATAACTACACAAAGATATCAATGAGCATAGTGAAACAGAAGATAAAATTTTCATTATTGCTATTCTGTGAACAAAAAATATTGCTAGTATTTCTAAAATATAACACCTCAGCAAAGTAACACTACATGTTAAAGAATAAATACTATAAGCTTTGACACTATTTCAATGTCTACTGTGATAGCTGAAGGCTACTGGTTCTCTACACTAGTGCATTCCAGCCTAGAAATAAGATTCCAACCATAAACATTTTCTCTTAGGAAGATTAAGAGCAAAATATATTTTTTGAGAAATACATTTTTTTGTTAAATCATTAATAAGTCTCAAAAATAGTAATTGCAACTTGCCCTTGTACAAGTTGATCAACATGTACCTTCTACAGATGTTAGTAACATTTCTAACTACATGTAAGTGGCATTTACTAATGATACGTAAGTGGCAGAGGCACTGGAAGCACCTACCATGCATCTCTGCCAGTTCCTCCGTCAGGAGAGCCCACGGGAGGAGATCTGGTCAGCGAGACGAGAGGGGAGGAGGTCCAGCACAGCCTCCTGCAGCATCGAACCTCGCTCTGGAGAGCAGGGATGCTGCAGAGCGCAGATGTGCTAGCAACCTGGGTTGCTGAGCATCTGTGTAAAGCAGAATCTCCAACCCACCATGGTCTGCCTGGAAACGCAGTGTGCGAAAGAAACCTAAGTCACGTTAAGTCACCGAGAGGTCAGTATGGCCCAGTCTATTCGAACACTGAAACTGGTGCCAGGAACAGGGTGTTACTATTACGGAAACGCAGGATCATGGCTTAGCAGCTGAACAGCAGGGAAACTAGTATCAAAGGTAAAACAGTGATCCAGATTACACGGCAGCAAAACATTTCAGGAGGCTCTCATCTCCACAGCACTTGCATAATGAAACTGAGGCTATGGAAGAAGAGTTGGCAAATCAAGGCCTGCCTGCTTTTATTTGAAGACTTTGCCTGGAATACAGTCACACTCACTCATAACATTTGTCTACGCTGCTCTGTTTTATACTGGCAGAGCTCAACAGCTGTGAGACAGACTGCACCATCTGCAGAGCATAATGTATTGGCCATCTGACTCTGTCACAGAAAAGGTCTGCTGGCTCCTGTGCCACAGAAGAAGAAACTAGAACGCAGAGCTTTCAACAGCATGTATTGGTGGCTACTAGCTGCAGTCGAAAGGAATGGCCACTTTTAAAAGTAGAAATAAAAGGAAAAACAGACTGGAATTTCAGAGCTTTGCCATTCTGGAAAAGCTGAATGCTATTAGATCCCTCGATAAAAGTACGGCAGATTGTTCAGTATATATCCCTACCTGCCCCAGGGTGGCTGTCACTCACCCTACTGATAGGCACAGTTGTGTGACCTGTTTCAGCTGATGAAGTGTGAGAGAAAATAAGGCTCCCAGACTGGAGAGAAGTTTTTAATGTGCACGATTTAGCTTGGCTCTTGCTTTCTGTCTCTCATCATGAGAAAATCACATCCCTGGGATGCTGAAACCTGAACATGGGGCAAACCTAAACCTGAACCTGACCCATGATCTGGAGCAGAGCCACACAGCCAACCTTCCAGATCTCTGAGCAAACAATAAATGTTCGACGCTACTGGTATCTTGAGTTTCCTTCTATACATCATTTTTCATAAAACAATTCTAAAGGGTTCTATGTGAAAAAGATCAGTAAAATCTTTCAATTAACAAAACTACTTCAGCCTGACAACAGAAGCCTGAAAGCTTAAAGGCAGACTCAAGACAACCTCCATTAGTTCTAAGAATATAGGGACTTTAAGTTAACAAATATACTTGGAAAAGAGTTGTTAACAGAAAAGATAAGAAGCCTCCTAAGCTTCTGAGACTGAGAGCGGTATTACCAAAACACTGCCGATTCTGTGACATTCTACACTTAAAACAGTGGTTCTCAGTTCACAGCGATTTTGCCTTCCAGTGAACAGCTGGGACTATCAGGAGACATTTTTGGTTGTCACAACTGGGGAGTGCCACTGGCATTTACTGGGGAGAAGCCAAGAATGCTGCAGACCATTTCATCAGTGACCAGGGCAGCCCCTCCAAAGAGTTGTCTGGTCCAAAACATCAGTAGTGGCCAGGATGAGGAAGAGAGCATTATAATGAAACTTGGGGCCCTGCTATTTTACAAATAGGAAGCAGGCTGAGAAGGCTGAGCAGCCCTCAAGTACGCATTTCCAAGACTCACTTCACGTGCATTCAAGGAGGGTAGCGGGTACCACAGAGGACAGCATCTCACAGAGGGCAGACTGAGGGCCTAATCAAGGAAGATCTCTCACCCCATCAATCAGGGACACTCACAGTGACTGCCCAGTACAATTTCAGCACACTAACAACTAACCAATCAGTGTGTGTATGTGTGTGTGTGGGTGTGTGTTCTTTAGTTTTCCAAATGAGATTGTTTCTGTGGTTACACTGACCCTGTCTGGCCATTCTATCTATGGTATTTGGGAGAGAGGAGTATGGAAGGGACAGATAATTTGGTCGTTCCCAAATCCACTTCCTATGGTCCTGGATCAAAAGCAGCAATGTCTAGACCTAATGTGAACTCCACTGTGTATGGCTGGGAACTAAATGCCTTGGTGAACAAGGACTCTGGCTCTTCTCTCTTAAGGAGCTACGGAATGAAGAGCAGGCTGATAACCAGAGGGAACAACGTATCAACGCCTGGTGCTCACCGCTATTCTCATCTGCCGCCCCACATTTCTTGGTTCCTTCACAATCAGGCAGGCACTTACGGCCAGTTCTGCCAACGGACCCCACGCAAAAGTGAAGTGTGCTACTTTCAGGCCCAAGCTTAGGGGAGCCAGTGTACACCACTCAGCTTTCTCCCACACGGAGATCAGCAACTATCTGCACGGCGCAGCGTGATTCAGTCACCATGGGGAAAGTCACCCCGGGGAGCCCCTACAAGATGGAAGTCACTCAGTGAGCCCCTACAAGATGAAAGGCCAGCTTATTTTACAAAGTAAACAATCTCAGACCAGAAGAGGTACTAGCTAAGAGTGAGGTGAAACTAAGACTAGTAGAGCAGAGAAAATGCCAACTGTGGCCTCAAAACCAGCAGCAAACGTGGGGATAACTTCTTATTGTTCCCTTTGTTTTCTATCTTCTGCCATTTGTTCTACCTTTCTGGTCTAGCTGCCTGCTATCCTCACTAATTTGGAAGCTTTCCATTTGATAGATTTTAGATCACTAAAATCAAACAATCTTCCATGGTGGCAGATCACTATCCTGGTTTACAGGACAAAGGAAACAAACAAAATCAAAACATTTAACTCAGTTGCTTTACCTCACACAGTATATGAATATGGGATCAGGAAGATAAAATAATTATAACTTTCCTGTTTAAATAAATTTATATTATGTTGTTTAAAGACTACATTAGGGGGCCGGCACGGTGGTGTAGCAGGTAAAGCTGCTGCCTGCAGTGCCAGCATCCCATATGGGCGCCAGTTTGAATCCCGGCTGCTCCACTTCTGATCCAGCTCTCTCCTATGGCCTGGGAAAGCAGTAGAAGATGACCCAAGTCCTTGAGCCCCTGCACCCTAGTGGGAGACCTGGAAGAAGCTCCTGGCTCCTGGCTTTGGATGGGCACAGCTCCGGCCAT